TGGAAAAAACTAAGGCAAAAGCGGAAGTCCTGGCGGTGTGGTCAGCGGACGCCGAGGGCCTGCCCCTGCTCCTGCCCTGGGGAAGCTGGCCAACCGGGCCCGGCCCTGGCACAGGGCTGCTGCCTGAAGGTGGGGAAATAGACACGCATATACACTTCCGATGGTTGTGTGGGACCTGGACCCACAAGGCTGAGGGCGTGAGGGACCTCAAACGCACATCTGCAAGGCTAGGAAGCTGTTTGTCACGGAAGCTGAAGAGCTAAGTCAATTCATGCCTCCCCACCACCTGTCCTCGGGACAGGGTGCTTCGCCCGTTTCCCTAAGCACCTTCTCCCCTGAGCCAGAAGCCCCGAGCGAGCTGGAGAGCCTGTGCTCTGGGCACCGAAGCCGCTCAGGCGCAGGCGCGGCATCGAGAGCCCCCTCTGCTCACGCAGTCCGAACGCAGTGTGACGTCGAAAGCACTTCACAGCAGCAGCCCTGACAGGGCAACGTCGGGGGACGACCCTGAAGGCCTCCCGCTCACGTTCTGGGTCTCTGACTTGGGGTCGATATGAACGTTTCTGTTGGTCTGTCCTATTGTTCCCTTTTGTGTGTGTGTTTTCCCGTCTTCACAAAATGGAACATAATGAACAATAAAGAGTTTTTGAAATGTTTAATTTACCAGAGTTGTATTCTTCCGAAGAAGATTTGAAACCAGATGAATTACAATATTTAATTCTTGACTTTTTAAAACAAGGGGATTCGCCCAAAGTCCTTATGGTCAGTGCTTAGTTTGCTTACGCACAACCAAGGGCTGGGAGATGCTCGCTGGTGTTTGGGGGGCGTGGTTTACACGGGGTCCTCGTCTGCTACGTGGGAAAGACAAGGCGTGATTGGGAAGTGGTGGCAGTGGCAGGGGGAGGGTGTAAACGTCCCCCAAAGGACACGGGCCACCTGCTGGGAAGAAGCAGGAAAGCTCGCCTCCTCCTGGGCACGGCCAGGCGTCCCCGCCTCGGAGCAGATGAGAAGCCGAGCCGGAAGCGCCAAGAATCTGGGTCGCTGGGCTGGGCTGCCACGGACGCGTGGGTCCCTAGCACATGGCTCCGGGGCTCAGGGAGTCTGCAGATGAGCTCTGCGGCCCTGGGCCTGCCTCCGGAGGCCTCGGCGGGACACCGGAGATGGAACTAAGAACCACAGGGAGCTAAACAGTGTTCGGTGCCTTTACTGAGGGTGAAGAAGAACAATTTCCCATCAGGAACAGCCAATTACAGGGAACTGGAACGGTAGAGCTGTTCTCAAATTCCTGATGGATGAACTAGCTCAATTAGTTTAATTACTCAATTAGACTAAGCATGACTTATGTGTCCTTGGGTGTTTTGTCATTTCATGTTCCCCATGGGTCACTGTCACCAAGCAATGAGACTTCCTTTCTATCCATGGTCCCCATGTCGCTTAGTCCTATGCCAAGTGTGCACCAGGCAGCCTCAAAATGTTTACTGAGAAAAAGTTTGACAGAGACTGTTATATTTGCCTGCCTAACACATAGCCGCTCCTTCTCCCACAGACACAGGCCATGCTTCTTCTAGAGGTCGCAATGTACCCAGCTAAAAATCATACACACACACACACACACACACACACACACACACACACAGAGTCCTAGTCCATAAAATAGAGCTGCTGGGAGAAGCTTCCAAGAATGCTGTTTTAAAAAAGAAAGACTTGTCTAGCTCAAGCCTTTTGCCCTTCACTTTCCCCCCTTCTTTATGCCTGAAACATGTATGTGATGGCTGGTGCTCCAGCAGCTGTCTTACATGCATGAGGATCAACCTGAAAGAGAAGGCCAGAAGCAGCCTGGGTCTCTGAAGACGCTGTAGGGCTGCTGCATTGGCCCTGTACAGACAACATCCAGACTCCTTGTTACAAGAGAGGAAAATAGCCAGCTCTCTTATCTGAGACACCGTTTTGGGGTTTGCTGCTAATTCACCTTGTGAAGAAGAAGGAGAAAGGAAGAAAAAGTAGATAGAGAAGAACTATAAAGATTCTAGGTCACCCTAAAGTTCAAGAACATTTCTCCTGCAACACTGTGTGTTCTTAACTCATAATTTAAATAAAATGACATAAATAAATAAATAAATAAATAAATAAATAAATAAAATGACATTAAAAAATATGCAAAAGTCACCGGCTATCTGGCACAGTGACTCCAGCAACGCACCGGGAGAAGGGGTTTCCCTGGGACAAGAATTACTGCTTACAGGGTTGTGGGAAATAATGCGCTGGATGAGGTCAAACACTCAGACCAGGCTGGCCCAAGTCTAGAGAGAACAGCGCCTTCCCCCGCCCCCACGGAAAGCACACAGAGGTCATTGACCCCCCAACGGCTCCGCCTCTGTATGGACCGTCAACGGCACATTTGTCAGATGCTCCGATGGCTCCCACACTGAAGAGAGGAAGATGATGAGCTAACCAACTGAGCCTGTCCAGGGACGAAATCTCCCGGCCACGGTGGGGAGCACGGAACGGGGTCCGAGCAATGACTGTTCAGGGACTCAGCGGGCTGGGTGGCTCACGAGTCCCCAGTAGCTCCAGGCTCTCGTCTTGCAGCTGTCCCTCGGAAAACCTGGGGTGCCGGCCGCCCCACCCCCACGCAGGCCGAGCAACAGCTGGCAACAGTAAAGAGTCCACGCTCCTAGTCTGGAACCTTAGGTGCCCAGGCCAGAGGCTGAGCGCTGCCTCCGTTCATCTGCTGAGCGCCGCATGCACGTCTCACCAGGCAGGCACACGTGTAAGTGACTCAGAGCTTCAGTTCCCGTCCCCCTCAATGAACCACAGCCGTTTCCCTACTCTAACTGGTGTGACACAGATTTGGGGATCATGGAATATTCACAGCAAAATGACAGGAAGGTCTGGAGGGGCATCACTATTAAAAGTAATGCCCCTCCCGGAAACTCGTTCCAGGTGGAGGGCACAGCCAGCGCACAGCGCCAAAGCAGAAGGGTCTCCGTCCCCAGAAACAGCAGGAGGCCGGGTGGCCGAGCAAGCAGGAGGGTGGCAGGAGTGGCAGCGGTCTGAGGGGGCGGAGGGGCTGGTCCTTCTCGGACTCTGGCCTTTGTTCCGGTGAGACGCTGAGCCACGGAGGGTTCTGGCAGGGACGGCCCCTGGCTGACTTGGTGGACGTCCTGGCTGCCGGGTGGAGAACAGGCTGCAGCGGGGCAGGGGCAGCAGCGGAGAGGGCAGCGAGGAGGCTGCCGGCCTCCCGCCGCGCGAGGGGATGGGACGGGGAGGCCGCGGGGTGGGGGCAGCCGCCGCGCTCCGGGACGATTGCCCAGGGAGCCGCCCGGCCCTGCTGAGGAGCTGGATGTGGGCGTGAGAGGAAGAGCGGGGTTGAGAAAGACACCAGGATCTTAGTCCCGATCAACTGGGAGAAAGGTCGCCCTTGGCTGAGCAGGTCCAGGCTGCAGGCAGAGCAGCTCTAGGGAGGATCCGGGCATTTCTCAGACACCCACGTGAGGACATCGCACAGGCGGGCGGGCGGGCGGGCTGGCGCCTGAGGCTGGGGCCTTAGGAGCACGGTCCGGGACGTGAACCCAAGGTGCGGACGAGGGAGCCGCTGGCTTATCAGTGACAATGCAGCCTTAACCTGGAGGAACCCGCAGCTGAGGTGACAGACGGAGAGGTGCTCTCGGGGACAGAGGTAGGAAGGCGCTCTGGGCGCCGTGACCACGGGCCTTAGTCCCAACTTAGCCACCCTCTACTGCTTCTCCCTGCGGCGGCTGCTTTCCATCTCTGAAAATTCAGAGGCTGAGCAGTGGATTTTGGTTTCCTGTGAACCTGTGCACAGACTATATATAAATCAAGACCACTGAGCACTGTGATCCTTCGAGGCTGGGACATGTGAGGGGACCAGTGCCGGGTGACTTGGGGCAGTGGAATCTAGGATCTAGGATCTAGGACAAGGCGCCCCAGGAGAGTTAGACAATTTGCACCCATTGGCCACCATTCACCCCATTGAAACTGCTCTCATCAGAGTTACCAGTGGCTGATCATGGGCCACGTGGTCCCGCAGCCCAGAGCCCTAGGAACCACCCGTGCGCCTTTCTTCCCCCGTATCTGTTGCCCTTATTCCTGAGTACTTCTCGATTCTATCCCCTTCCCTACGCGCCACATCCTTTACTTGGTCCAGGGACGCAGAGGTCTGGACGGCTTCAATAGCCACCTAAGCCACCTAAAGCCACCTCTGGGCGCGCACCCAGCCCGCTCCTCCACCCAGCCTCTGGGAGGCTGCCGCATGGAAGCTTGGATGTGAGACAGGTGAGGAGCCTACCTCTGGCGTGGGGGTGGGCACTAGATAAATAGTAGCCACTAATATAATCATTCTCTTCTTGGAAGTGTATTTCATCGCAGCCTTCTAAACATGTCCACAGGGACACGGCCACATGCCAACCGAAGGAGATCAGCAGGTCGGGGCGGGATGGGGGGCGGGCATCACAGGGACTCCAAGCAACCGCGGGAGCTGGCTTCTGAGAAGCCGGTGCGGAGCCCTTCCTGGCAGCGCTGCGCCGCGCCCCCCCACCCCCAGTTCCCATCAGCACCGCGCATCGGTGCCCTAAGCTTCCCATCTGTGCCCCAGGTTGTTTCCCGCCCTCCGGAGGAACAAACCGCAGCTTGCGAGGTGCTCCGCCCCCCTCTGTGGCTCCCCCGACCCATTCTGCCCCCGATCCGCTCAAGGGCACAGTGCGAACAATGCATCGACGAACTGACTGCTTTGTTTTGCAAGTTCAGGTATCAAAACCCAGCCCCATCCATAGCAGACGTATTCTCTGAAGACAGTTGCCAAAGACATTTTTGGCCCAAAGATGGCTTTTAGATCATTAAAAAGATGCCTAGAAATGGATCTGCTTTGTCACAGAATAGAGCCGGAAAACCCAACACCTACCCTTTCAAGCGCGTTTGTATAGTAAAGTGACTGAACTTCAAGAAAGAGACACAGAAACACAGAGGAAAACCCACTCTCCTACCTTCCTGAAGTCACGCACATTAATTTTGCCATCAAGTTCCTTGCTGAAGTCAGGAAATCGTTTTTGGAATGTTGGGTCCTCCTGCTGCAGACAGGTTTTGAGTTTTTTAATAGCTTCCTCCTTGGTCACACTCTTGACCGAGGTCCCTTTATCCTCCGTGGGCTTGGCTCTAAAATCACAAGCAGGCCTTCAGGAGCAGCCGGGTGCATGCTACACACCTTCCACCCCACCCGCCGTTCACCGCTCAACCCGGGACAACAAAGGAGGTTCGCAATCCTCTTTTGACAAACAAGGAAACGTGGATGCCTCCTCGCCCTTGGCTCGTAGGGACTGGAGCCAGACCTGGGGGGAGCAGCCCGGCCAGGTGGCCCCACCATGTGCTGCCAGGAAGGGGAGGCAGGCGGGGTGGGAGCTCCAGGAAGAAAACGCTGCCATCTTTGAGCGAAGATTTTCAACTGTGCTTTGAGCTGGCTAACTATGGCGTGTGACTAGGCAGACACAGTCAGAAAAAGGATATTTTTGAGAACTGGGAAAATCATTTAAATTAAGCAGGCTGCGTTGTGGTAGCCATATCACAGAAGGGAGCATCCATCCATGGGAAGGAAGTCCCCAGCTTTTCCACGCTAATTTATAAAATCAACTTGGTTCATAAAATACAGATGTGCCATGCTGTGCTGTGCGCGTGAGCGTGCGCGTGCATACGCGTTGGGGGAATAACTGTTTCTCCAGCTCTCCGGAAGCCTCCCGGGCCTGCCGCGGGGGCGGCGGAGGCAACAGCCGTGAAGTAGCCACGGAGGATGAACTTCCCCTCCTTTGCTGCCGCGTCTGTCGACGTTTAAGAGCTCTCCAGCAATGCCCACGTTTTATGAAACGCTTAATTGCTGTTCCTTCTCTCACTGGTTTTAGGAGACAGATAGATCTCATCACTGAACAGTTAGCTTTCTCTTAAAATATCATCTCTCTGCCCATTTAAAATTCAGCTATTACTGAAATGCCCAGAGAGTCAAATTTCATTAGGATGGCATTCAAATATCCCCATTGCTCTGCACTTAGGAACTTTTAAAAAGAGATGTGATAAAGTGAAGTCTGCTGAACACTTCCACATTTTACCTTTCCTTATGGATTTATTATAAGCCAGGAACAAGCTAGTTAAAAATATCATCTTTTCATTAGACTAAACCTGTAGTTTTCAAAATGACGAAGGGCAAGAATATTCATCAGTCCAATTTTTAATAGATTTCCTAAGTATGTTTTAGTGTTATGATTCCATTTGGCAATCGTTTGGGTAATTCTATCATTCTTGTTAGAAAACGTTAACTGGTTGAAGGCTGTATTTTGCAATAAATATTAAACAGAGGTCAGGAATCGGGAGTTTCTGGAGCAGAAGGGACGTGAGCACAGGTACGCGACCGCTGAGGGGCGCACAGGTTCTCTGGGAGGCGAGAGCCCTGCGTTCCTGCACCAGGGCGACCACTAAGCTTGTGAAACATGAGGCAGGTCCCCAAACCCCCTAGTGTCTTCATTTCTAGAATTAATAGGTCAGCTCAATAATTCCTAAGATCTCTGCTTGCTCTAAAATCCCCTGACTCTAATCATCGCATTTATAGCTTGCCATCTTTCTTATTTAAATAATAAAATATTAATACACTCATTTAGTTAATAAATATTTACTAACTGCCTTTCCACAGTAGGCTCCAGTAGACTCTGGAGGGGCAGTGGGGGGTGGTTATGAAGATTTTATTTATTTATTTTTAGAGAGAGGAGAAGGGAGGGAGAAAGAGGAGGGAAACATTGCTGTGAGAGAGACACATCAACTCGGTTGCCTCTTGTATGTGCCCTGACCAGGGACAGAGCCTGTGCAATCCAGGCATGTGCCCTGACAGGGAACTGAACCAGCGACCTTTAGCTTTGCAGGACGACCTCCAACCAACTGTGGTTTTAACATGCGTTTTTGTTTTGTTTCATTTTACCTCTCAGAACCATCTGGCGCCTGCAGCTCCTCCTTCTGAGAACGTTCCCGTGATGGCCGATCCTTTGGAGTGAGGGCTGGAGACGCGGAGGGCGGGCCATGGACCCCTATGCTGGCCAAGAGGTTCTTATAAAGGACTCTTCCCGAAGCCGTATCCCGGAACAGACTGCAGAGTCTGAATTTTAAAGATAAGTAGAGCACGCCCATTAGAACAGCTCAAACTAAAAAAGACGGACCCTACCAGGTGTCGGCGAGGATGTGGGTGACTGCAGCCCTCATCTGCCATGGGCAGGGCGTAAAATGGGGCGCCACTTTGGGAAATGTTTTGGCAGCTGAATATACACTTCCCAGAGGAGCTGGCCGTTCCACCCCTCGGGATATAAAGATGTATGTCTCCACAAAGACTCGTACAATACGCACAGCTTTCTTTGTGACCGGCCCAAACTGTAAACGGACCAGATATCCACCACCGATGGATGCACAAGGTGTGTATTCCATACAATGAAATACTACTCAGCAACAAAAAGGAACCCACTGAGAATACATGTGACAATATATGAATCTCAGAATCTTTACGTTGGGGGATAAAGTCTGGCGAAAAGCGGACCTCGTGTGCGCTGCCGTTTATGTAAAACCCTAGAGAGCGCAGAGTCATCTGCAGGGACGCCGGTGGGGGCGGGGGCGGGCGCGAGACAGCTCTGGAGGGGGATGAGAGTGTCCGCTGCCTCAACGGACAGCTTGTGACGGTTTCATGGACGTATATGCACGGTGGCATTCTTCAAACTGCATCACAGAAACGTGCAGTTTACAGTTTGTAAAGAATACCTCAATGTAGAACAAATGTAAAAAAAGAAAAATTCAAATTAGAAATTTCGGTGTGGAATTATGGAAGTACTTCCACTGGAATGGTGGCAGACACAAACATTTTAGAAAAACCTGAGAAACCACTGATAGAGCGGGATCTATTTTTTAACATTTTATTACTATTTTCTAATCATAAAAGTTGTGCATGCTCATTGTTGCAAATGTTGGAAAGCCAGAGGCCCCAAACAGAATCTATATGCGTATTTGTTAAAATGTCCAGGCCACAGAGCCCAGTGTGACGGGAGTGGCCCTGGACTTGGCCCCCTGGGTCTGAATGTCAGCTCTGCGCCTCTATCGCTCTCTGACAGCAGGCGGCCTCGGGGCGGGCTCTCTGGAAGCCTCCTGGGCACTGGTGAGGCCGAAACTATTGTCACGTGAGCACAACAACATCACTGGTCTCTGGCACCCCGAGCCTCCCCAGTGCGCGCGGTGGGCTTCCCAGAGGCCCCGCGTCCTGGCCTGGCCCTCGCTCTGACCGCCGATGGGTGGTGTGTTGTGTTCTCTGGCGTTTCCTTGGGGAGCGGAAATGTTTAGGGTGCACAGGTGGGCGGCGCTGAATCTTCCTGGCTGTTTCCTTCCACCTGCTCACGCTTCTTTCCTTGCTGGACGAGGCACTGCCTCCCCTCCGCCCCCCGCCCAACCCCCGCTGCTCCATAGCCCCGGCCTCACCTGAGCCTCCCCCAACCCCATCGCCCTCCATGCCCAGGGTCACCAAGCGCCCCTGCTGTGACCTGGTGTCAAGCGCCTGGGCTTTTCCTCTCTCCCTGTCACAGTCCCCTCCTCCTTGGAGAGACCTTTATAACCTGCAAATCTGGAAATGTCACGTCTTCCCACTCCTCGAAGCGACCTCGTGGGCCCAGCTCCCCGCGGCTGTTTCTTAGCAAGGACCGCCCGCCAGGGCCCACAGGGACTTGCATGTAAGGGTCCCCGATTCAACCTGGGGATGGTGCACGGGCACCAGGGCCTTCAGAGCTCTGCTGGGGCTCTCAGAGCCACCGCCTGGCCGATGCTTCCAACTCCCTGGTGCACGACGTGGTCATCCTCGCCCGACCGGGCCGTCCCTCGGCCTCATCGCCTTCTGCCCCATCCCCCAAGAACGCCCTGCCCCACAGACCCTGAACGTACCGTGCGTCCCGGGCCCGCTGGGCTCTTCTCTAATGTGCCATATCCTGAAATGCCCGTCCCTTACTCCAGGGACGCGCTCGGATGCCATGCCTGCCCACCCACCGGCTCTCGGTGGGCGCTCCTGCTCCGTGTCCTTCAAGTGCTGTGAGCTCGCTCCCTAGACACCTGTGCCAGGCTGGGTGTGTCGGGATCTCCCCCTCCCCCACGTTAAACCACCCTGGGGACAAAGGGGTTCGTGCCAAGCGGGCCTGGGACAGCCGCTATGCAGCGGGCGCTCCCTAACACTCCCTCCCTGAGTGGAAGAGGGCGTGAAGGACGAAGCGACCGGCCCAGTCCGTCCCGAGCACCCCCACTCTCCTGACCGCACACCGTGGAGCCCCTGCAGACACTAGGTCGCCTGCCCTCGCTCTTCCTCTGCTCTGCCCAGGCTCGTCTGTGAATGTTTGATAAACGTGGGGAAGCCAAGCCCCAGCCTGCCTCTCCTGCTCAGGAAAGCCTCCGCCTCACCTCCTCCTCTTACAAAACTTTTTTTCTTTTCCGTACAAAAACCAACCATAGGAAAAATAGGCTGTGAAACATGAACAGCCACAGGGAGGAGACTAAGCGGCCAACAACCACCAGTGCGCCCACTGTGTTTCAGGTCGCTTAGCTCAGTCTGCCGTAAACCAAAGCGACAAACGAGGTTTTTAGCGTTCCCATCAGGTGGGATGAGAGAAAGCAGAGCAACTTTCCTCCCTGTGACTCAATTGGATTTCCCCCCAGAGTGACGTCCCAGATCCCTGCCCACACGCCGGGAAGCGCTGGACCACAGATCTCCAAGGCCGTGCAGCCTGAGGGGACGGCAGGGCGGTCAGGGCTCACGTGGGAGGCATCGTCCCTGGTCCCAAGCTGTAGGCTGTCACCTGCAGAGAGGGAAGCATCATGGCTCTGTGCCCCGAGGGACATGCCCCTCTATGTGGAGGGTGGAAGGGGCACGTGGCAGGACAGCCGCGGGGCTTTCGAGACTCTGTCCTTTTCTTTCAATCCCTGTCCTCTTCCAGCTTGGGCTCACGCTCCACAAATTAAGTTTTAAACTAAAATGAAACAAAGATGTAGTTCAAGCCACCGTTTGTGGGATGGCTGATCACAGCCAGACACCCCGGGAGGTGGCAGAGTGTGACGACGAAGAGCGTGGCAGTCGGGTGCCAGGACGGACCCCAGGCTCTGCCACTCACTAGTGAGAGACTGAGTGGGTACGTAACGTCTCCCGGCCTGTTTCCTGGTCCGTGGGAGGGAATGAGCGCGACGCCCCGTGGCTGTGCTGAGGACAAAGTCACACAGCGTCTGCCACGCTGTCAGCAAATGCCCGACGTTGGTAAGGACTAAATAAACAGCTATTATCAATATTACCTAGTAATACCGCGAGCATACACCAAAAAGGGGTTAGAATTATAACGGGAGACTTGATGGAAAACATGACCTGAAGTGACTTCGTTACCAGAAGTCTTACTTCGTTAAATCCTCCATCGTTAAACAGGGACAGAATATGTGCATGACTTTCTTGAAGTTGTTGGCGCCCATGAGCCCGGAGCGCCCGAGGTCGTAGGAGTGCAGCATGTTGTAGAAAGCCAGGACGTTCCTGCCGATGGCATCACGGACCATCTCTTCCACCTGCCAAGACACGAACACGTTGACCGGCTGCAGGCATGGCATCTGGGGTGGCGGCGCCCTGGGACCACCGAGGGAGGCGTTGCTTACCGAGTCCTGGGCCAGCAGGAGAGGAGTCCGGGGCTCCGCGTGGGGGGACGGCTTTCCTGTCTAGTTGGGAAAGAGAAAGTACGGAAATACCAGTCACTCGTACGGGCAGCAGGCAAGCGCTCCGGAGTCCGTGAACGCGGACTGCCAACTTTGCCCCTGAGCAGCCCACGGCCCTGAGACCTTGAGCAAGTGAGCTTGCCCTCTGAGCCCCATCTGGAAATGGGGATAAGAACGCTGAATTTGCACTTCTTTTTTAAAAAGTACAATAGACCTGAAAAAAATCCACCACCTAGAAATTAGGTAAATGCAAAGTGACAGAGAGAGATGGCACTTTTGCCTATCAGCATGGTAAAGATGAAAAGGGAAGCAAAGCGCCCAAGTCAACAAGAATAATATTAGACAATTAGAAAACGTGCAGGCGGGGGCGGAGGGGGGCAGTGACCGCCCCAGCAGGACGTGCAGGGGGCCGGCGTGCAGGGAAAACTAATCTGATTTTTAAAACCTATTAGAAGTCTAAAAATGCTAATAGCTATTACAGTTATGGAAGCATTTCTAATAATGAACAGTGTCCACTTTTCAGTGAAAAGAAACAAACATTAAAAGCAGATGTGAGTCACTAGCAGCAACAAGCAGTCATTACGTAAAACGTGAACGAACATAAAAGCTCTGAAACTGCGGACCGAGGCCGGAGGAGCGCGCACAGCTGGCCGGCGGCGCCGGTGAGACAGGGCGGGGAGAGGCCGCCGCTCAGGTTCCCAGAAAACGAGTTCCATCCTGTAGGTAAAGGCGCTCCCAGCAGGGGGACAGGTCCTCAGAAATGTCAAGCAGCCCCCAGTACGGCCCAGAAACTACAAGTCCAAATTAAGCACTCTTAAACACTTAACTTACTTAAAATGAAAGTTAAGTCCGCTGAGAAATTCACAGCGGAGTCATGCATTTCTTCACACCATGCTCACCCGCATCCCTCATTTTACTGAGAACACTTTAGTCCCCAGCCTCCTTGGGAAAGCGTGCGCAAAGCTGCCACACAACTTACCAGGCAGCTGTCCTCGAGCAGTTGGGCGAACGCGCGCACGTCCACCAGCCCTGTGCCGCTGGGGTCAAGCGTCCGCATTAGTGCTCTGAATTCTGAGTCGCTTATTTTCACGACCATGCAATTTATGATGTGTCGCAATTCTTCCCCTTTTATCTGTCCATCCAGTTTCTGAGCATGACAGTGTATTTAAGAGAATTTTTAAAAAAGAAAAAAGGGAGGACAAGCATTATACATATTCAGTATTGTTTAATAAACCGTGAGCTTTGGCTAAATAGAATTAGGCTATGCAACAAGAAAACCCCAGCTGGCAATCATGATATAACCCGTGTGCCAAGAGCCAGAACTTTGCACGCGCAGCTCCTACAATGCTCTCTATCAGGATGTGGGCGGGACATGGCCCCAAGGGAGGAAAGAGGCCCGTTTTACTGCAAAGGCTGGCTGCCCCCTCCCAGGACAAGCTACAGGCTGTCACAGAAGGCCTGAATAGCTCCTCCTGCCCCAACCCCACCTGAGGCCTACGTGGCTCAGCCACAGGGGACACGAAACTTCCCGGCAATTCAATTTCAACCTGCCAATTTACTAAGAATATTAATTATGCTGGTTTTTCACTACCACGAACCTCATCTATTACATAAACGGACAATTACTTAGTGAGAAAAATCTCAGCCCTGCGTAAGGAAAACATACTATGAGCAAAATATGGACAGGCAAGCTTCTTCCCCAGAACGAAAAAAACACAAACCTCATCAGTAAGACAATTAAATATTAAAACTGATATTTTTATATATTTTTATATCTAGTTCCTGATACTGGGAACTAGAAAACCAGGGGAAATAAAGAACCCTTGCCTCATAGAAAACAATTAGGAACGTTAATGCAACAAACTCTTATTTCGGGGTCTAAAATCTGAAAAGGACATAAGGTTCTCTTGGGAAAACTAAGACATCCAGAGGACAAGGGCGTGCCTTTGAAAGTGATAATCAATTTTTTAGTGTCTACACAGGAATCATAGGCAATTAATTTTTTGTGATTTTCAATAAATTTATAGCGGTGCGCAGCCATCCTCACCACTAATTTCAGAACATTTTCACTGCAAAAGAAACTTTGTGCCAATTCACTGTGACTCCCCATTTCCAGCCCCAGCAGCGTAAGGCAACTAAGAATCTTTTTTCTGTCTCTCTGTATTTGCCTTTTCCTGGACAGTCTATGGAAATAGAATCCTACAACATATCATCTGTACATGTCTCACATCTGGCTTCTGCCACTTTGCATAATGCTTTTGAGGTTCATCCGTGACGTAGCACGGATCGGTACTCTGTTCTTTTTTATTTCGGCTACTATTCCATTGTATGGATACGCCACCCTTTGTTTATATTGTCACAAGTTGATGAACATTTGGGTTGTTTCCAGTTTGGGAATTATGAATAGCGTTGCTATGAACATTTGCACGCAAGTCTTTGTGCGAGCATATGCTTTTCTTTCTCCCGGGCAGATACCTAGGAGTCGAATCGCTGGGTCATATGGTAAATTGCTGCTTAAATTTTAAAGAAACGACCATGTTGTCCTCCGCAGCGGTGGCTCCACTTTACACCCCCTGCAGCAGCGCGTGGCAGACCCAGCATCACCGGCACTTGTTACAGTCTAAGGGGGCAGGCCATAGCCGTACATAAGCGCATGTGACGTGGCGTCTCACTGTGGCTTTGATCTGCATTTCCCTAATGTCCAGTGATGTTGAGCATCTTTTCATGTGCTCACTGGCCATTCGTATATCTTCTTTGGTGAACTGTCTATTAAAATCTTCTGCCCATTTTTTAAATTGGGTTGTCTGCTTATTAAGTTCAGAGAGCTCTTACCTATCCTGCATATAGGTCTTTCACTGAATATGTCATTTTTATATATTGGCTCAGTCTGTGGCTTACCTTTTCCCTTTCTTAATGGTATCTCCAGGAGCAAAAACAAAAGTTCTTGATAAATCCAACCCATTTTTTTCTGTAATGGAGCAGGCTTTTAGTGTCATATCTAAGAGATCCTTGCGCAACACAAAATCACAAAGATTATGCATATGTCTTCTAAGAACTTTATTGTTGTAGCTCTTATGTTTAGGTCTAGGGTCCATTTTAAGTTATCTTTTGTGTATGATGTAAGGTAATTTGTCTTTCTGCACATGGATATCTGTCTCAGCACCGTTTGTTGAAAAGGCTATTCTTTCCCCCCTTGAACTGGTCAACACTGAACTGACCACGGCGTGAGTTTATTGTCCACCCTCAGTTCTGTCCCACACACCAGTGTGTCTAGTCCTCACCCCGGGGCCGCACTGTCTTTCCTACTGTAGCTTTATCCTGACAATCCAAAATCGGAAGTTAAGCACTCTAACTTCATTCTTCTTCTCCAAGACTGTTTTGGCTATTCTGCAAATTTTGCATTTCTGTATGAATTTTTAACATTAGTTTTTCAATTTCTGCCAAAAAAAAAGTCACCTGGGTTTTGATGTGGTCTGCATTGAATTTATAGATCAGTTTGGAAGGAACTGCAATTTTAAGAATGAGGTTCCCAAGCCATGTATATGGACTCTCTTTATTTACTTACATCTTTTTTTCTTTTAATAATGTTTTACAATTTTTTTTATTTTATTTTTTTAGAGAGAGGGGGAGAGAAAAAGAGAGGGAAAGAAACATCGATATGAGAAATATGGACTGGTTGCTTTTCACATGTGCCTGGGCTGGGACCAAACCCACAACCTAGGCATGTGCCCTGAGAAGCGAACCTGTGACCTATAGGTTTGCAGGATGATACCCAAGCAGCTAAGCCACACCAGCCAGGGCATGTTTTGTAATTTTCAGTGTACAAGTCTGGCACTTCTTTCGTTAAATTTACCCCTAAGTATTTTATTCTTTTTTATGCAATTGTGAATGAAATCGCTTTCTGACATTCGTTTTCTGATTGTATATTGCTAGTCTATACTATACTAGATTTTTGTATATCGATCTTATATCCTGCAACCTTGAAGTCATTTATTAGTTGTAGCAGTGTGTGTGTGTGTGTGTGTGCGTGTGCTTTCCTTAGAATTTTCTATTACAAAAATACATGGTATGTGAATAAAGACAGTTCTCCTTCTTCCTTTCCCCTCGGGATGCCTTTTCTTTCTTCCCCTTTCTGAGTGCTTGTCTAAAGCCTCGGCCCAAGGGCGACTAGAAGGAGCAGGTGAGGTGGATACTCTGGGCTTTGCCTGGTCTCCCAGGAACAGCAGTTGATCGTTTACCATGAACTAGGAGTTTCTCACAAATGCCCTTGAGCAGGTTTGGGAAGTTCCCATCTATTCCTAGTTTTTTGAAAGCTGTTATGAATGAGTGTTAGATTTTTTCAAATACTTTTTCTTCATCTATGGAGATGATCGTGCAGCTCTGTCCTTACATCTATTTATTGTGCATTACATCATAGCACCGAATCCTTTTTATGTGCTTCTGGATTAGGTTTGCTAATTCATGAAGGATATTGCTCTATGGTTTTCTTTGCTTGTTTTGTCTTTACCTGGCTTTGGTATCAGGGGAATATTGGCCTCAGAGAATGAACTGGAAGTGTTCCTTCCTCCTCTATATTCTGAAAGTTTGCAAAGAATTCATATTATTACTATAACCAATCTTTGCAGTCTTCAACATTGAGAATTTGCACGTTTTTTTGTTAGATATATTTCAAGGTATTTGATTTTTTAAAAATATTATTGGAAATGATGTTTTTAAAATTCTTTTTCTAATTGCTTCTTGCAGGAGACAGAAACAGCGTTGATCTCTGCATGTTGACCTTGTACATTGCATGTAGCCAACGACCTTCTAAATTCTAATATTAATTCCTGAATTTTTGAAGATTCTTTTAGAATAGAATCTTTCTATTTATAAAACTATGTGAACTGAAAATAAGAGTAGGTGGTTAGGCGGGGTATAAATGCCCTCTGAGTAGCAGGCAGTGAGCCACACCTGGTTCCAACGTCAGTGACAGGTCCACTCGGGGAGACAGCGGCAGTGGGTGGCGGCAGCGGGCGGAGGCAGCACACACAGCTGCGTGGAATGTAGGACTTGGGGCAGATGGAAGTAGCTTCCAGTAACCTTGCGCCCCTCTCTGGAGTCGGGTAGGGACCTGTTCCTCGGGGCTGTCCCCTGTAGCCCAGCCAGATGCCCACCACTGCCCACTCCTGGCCCCTACCCCTGCCCCTTCTCCTTCCGGGGCCAGCCCGTGGCCAAGGCCCACGCACGTGGAGTGGGTGATGGGTGGGGAGTCGCACTCGGGAGCGCTGCAGCTCCAAGGCGCCGGGTGGCCGCTGCCCTTCCGTGGCACTCAGCATGTGAGCCCGCCATCAGCAGGGCTCAGCGCCGCCTGCCCGCGTGCTCAGCCTCAGTGCCCGAGGCGGCCCGCGTGGGCACCCAGCATCCTCGCTCTGTGGGGCCTCTGCTGCTCTCCAGCTGAGCAGCCCGGCAGCGACTGCCCAGTGGTCGCGCATTTGCAGCGGTTGGCATTATCACAGCCCTCCCGTAACAGGGAGGCAGATTTCACTATTTTTAATTAAATTACTTCTTCAATTTACTAATAGGAGCCGAGGTGCGCAAGCACACAAAGCTTTCATTTATCCTCAGGAGGCGGCCGGCTAGCAGACGGCAGCCAGCTGGGGCCAGGGCTGCCGGTGCCTGTGCTGGTGCGGCCAGTGGGAACCCTGGCCCCGTCACGCCCTGGCTGGGGCCTCGGGCTGGTGACTTACCCCCCACGCCGCTCCCCTTCCTCAGCAAAGCGGGGTGAAACAGAGGCATCACGTGAAGAGGATAATAGCGCCCCCCTCACAGGCGTGTTGAGAGGCTGAAGTGAAAACCGGTCCGTCACTTCATACAGCGCCTGGCACACGGTGCCCATTCAGAGAGGACAAGTCACATCAGACCCAAAGATTCATGATGATAGGCGTGCTAGCTGCCATGTCCCCCACAGAAAACAGAACCCCAAATCTCTGAATCCATGCTCTGCTCGGAAACCCCAAGCAACGGCGTGGGAGACTGGCAGGTGAGGAGCTGCGGTCTGCAGGCTGGAGTGCAAACAGCACGCCTAAGGACCGCCAGGCCCCGGGGGCTCCCCGCAGGGCGGCGCCCTGCCGAGCAGCCTGCCCTGCCTCGGAGGCTCAGGAAGGGTGACTTGGAGGCCAGGTAACTCCTTCTTTGTACATATTTGCATCTGAGTGAAAATTATTTACTGCGGTGCTGGTTAGTTATTAGCGATTCAGTTACTGTATGTACTCAGTAAATAACGAACTTGAAAAATGTCACCTCTGTATCAAAAATACACCAATATTGCTTTTCTAAAATAAACATGAATGCAGGACAAGAGCTAATGTTTTAAGCAAGTTGCAAACTCATGAATCAGCCTCCCTCCGCAGCACAAACGATAGACAGGCTGTCCTGGGGCTCAGACAGCGTCCCTGCCGCAGGCCACAAGTCAGCTAGGAGCCTGGACTCCAGGTGGGCTGGGCGGGGAGGGTTCATCGGGTCTGGATTACTCGTCAGTTCACAAGTCAATGACGACTAGTCACCCCATCCTTTGACGACCTGGCCCTGGACTATTCTCCTCCCCCAGCATGTGCCTGACTGCATTGCAACACGTTTGCGTCGTCTGCCCTCCCGACCGGACCGACCCTGGAGGCCGAGCCCTGGGTTCCTGAGCACTTAGAACAATTCCCAGCACGTAATGGGAGCTCAAAACCCATCTGTTAGGCGGAGCAATAAATAAATGCACAGCCTTGCCATTGGCCTCGTTCTGACCAGTAAACCAGCCTTCTGAGAAACAGTGGGTGTTTCGCTGGAGAAGGGCTCCAGAGCCTTACGGTGTCGATGAGCATCAGGGCCTTCTTCAGCGATGTGTGGAGGTCTCTGTGTCTAAACAACCTTGTGATGACATTTTCCTGGTGAGGCTGATGTTTAGAGTCGCTGCTGCCAGAAGATTAAGGAAAAAGGACAGAAATAAGCTCATGTTCTTGAATATAGTCCTACCTTTTAAAAAATGGCCCTCACAACAACCACCGTAACTGCCCCCTGGTGGAGAGTTCTTTGTCCTGAAAGTGTCCTGCGCATGCGCAAGCCCTACTGTCCCTCGGTCGGGGCGACACCTGGTAGGGAGGTGGCATGGACGCGCCCACCACGGTCAGCTCTGTGTGCCAGCGCTCTCCTCCCCCCGCGTCTGGCCGCAGCCGGCCCTCCTGCCAGTCTGGGCCTTGGTCTCCGAACGGGCCAGGAAGGACACTACGGTCACAGCCAAGACCACCGCCACCCTGGGGGCAGCTCGCCGCAGCACACTCCTCCACATGAGCACAGAGGGGATACCCACCCTCGCAGCCGCGTCCCCCCTGCGGACAGTGGCCATACCAGCTATGCTGTCGGACCCCTCCCCAGGCCCAGCGCCTGCACGCGTGCCCTTGACCCACACTGGAGGTCAAGGCCAACACACTCTGGGCTCCGGTCAGAAAGGGGCCGCAGTACCTCCTACTGACACGCTGCCCTTTTCAGTGTCAATTAGTTCGACATTTCCCACTAAATGAAGAACAAGAGTGAACCAGCTCCCCTGCTTAAAAATCCCCAAATGTGTCTGGGGGACCTTAGGGCCCTGTCTCTACGGCCATCTGTTGTTTCCGGTTGTGCAAAAATGTATAAACGCCCCACCACCACCACTTTTCAGAAACTTAAAGCAGAGGATTCCCTCAGCGGAGTCCCATGCGTGCGTGTGCACGCACGTGTGTGGCGGGCGAGCTATCCAGGCCACGGTGCAATAATTAACAGCTTCCCTGGCTGCACGCTCTGGTCAGTAGCACCTTCACCCCAGTTGTGACAACCAGAAATGTCTCGTGGCATTGCTGAAGCCTCCTGAGCAGCCAAGATTGTCGCCAGTTGAGAACCACAGTTCTCAATAAATAAAATTCACATTTTCACTCAGAGTCCTGGACAAGGTGCTATCAGAAAAGGAAACTACAAAGAAATGGGAGTGACTTCACTTAAGAAATGAACTACAGAGGAGCGTCCCGGGAATTGGCGGGGTGGGGCGGCACCTGAGTGTTGGCAGGTGACCGACGTTCACAGACCCCTGAGGCACAGCTCGGCCCCGGTGGGACCGGGGTCCACTCTGCAGTACATCTGACTTTACAGTGGCACGCAGCGCCTTCCACGAGTGTGCTGAGATTATGAAGCCCGCTTTTTCTTGAAGATTTACACGGGCAATCAGTGCAGGACGCTCATCAGCACAGACAAAATACCTCTTGGAGTAAAAGGCTGAACTCTAAAGTGTCACATAGTTAGGTACTTTTCCCAGTTTGGGGCCCCTACTACAATGTATGTGATAATGCTAATCTAAAGTTATAATAGGCCCTGGCTGGGTGGCTCTGTTAGAGCGCCACCCAGATAGGCCAAGCTTGAGGGTTCGATCCCTGGTCAGGGCACGTAACAGAAGTCGACCAATGAATGTATAAATAAGGGAAACAACAAATCAATGCTTCTCTCTTTTTCTCTCTCTCTAAAAATCAATCAATAAAACTATAATAGACATGAGAACACACAGAACAAAAGATGCCCAAGGCACAATCCCGCGACCCGCAACGTCTGCAGAGTGGTCAGAAGAGCCGTGAACATGCATCATTCCTTTCTATATAGCACTTCCAGGTCCGTGTTTACACCTAGTGCTGCAAGAACGCACGTGCAGCCCGAGACCGGCACTGGCGGCAGCGCTGTGTGAGGCTGCGCGCCCCGAGCTATGAGCCGCGGCTCCGCCTCCGCTGCTCTCCAACCACAGGACCCAGTTAAGACTCCTTGTAGCCTCATTTTTTTATCTAGAAATTGGAACAATAATTATACCTGCCTTATAGTTTTCAGGCAATTCTAAATAAGAACGTACAGAAAATAATTTATAAACTGCAGTCACTAGGTAAAAGTTCATAATTAGTCCACGCAGACTAATTTGTCATTCAATAAATGAAGAAAAGGTAATTCAGGTATTCTCTTTCCTTTTACATATTATGATCTGCGCAAGAAAAGTTTAGAATTTCTATTTTTACGTACCTAATTTTTTTTGCCAGCGGAACTGTGTTGTCAACTTCCATCATCCACTGAGGATCATGCAGTGATGCTAGAAATTGCTTCCAATTGACTTTCTTGGTGGTTTTAAGCCCAAATCTGGATTTAAAAAAAAAATTCCAAACATCATTTCTGTAACACTGCATGGATGAGATGTTCAATATTGAATTTTAAATGGCAGCAATGAGTTTTTAGAAATTTTCTAATCTAAGGTAAACAAAATAATTTAGTAAAATCATTCTACAAATTGATTTTTAAAAAGCAAGGAAAAATCAAACCAATTATACTTCTCCGTGCCTCTATCTCCCATTGGCAAGAGCATACACTGAAGGAAGAAGCAGGCATTCGATGAAATTTCTACTGTCCATGACGTAATACTTCACATACATCGTGTGAGGAGCTCATTTATTGTGTGAGCGGCAGAGCGGCCTGCGAGATGTCCGCACCCTAAGCCCCGGGACCGTGAAGATGGGGCTGCGGCGGCACAGGGGACTCGCAGGTGTGATTGAGGATACGGCCCCCAAGGTGGGGGGAGGACAGCCCTGGCCGTCCAGGAGGGCCCCAGCTAGCCCTCCCCCGGGACAGTGCAGGGGTGTCCAACCCACGGCCCGTGGGCCGCATGCGGCCCAGGACAGCTATGAACGCGGCCCGAGACAAAATCGTAAATTTACTTAACACCTTTCTTTTGCTCATCAGTTTCCATTAGTGTTTGTGTTATTTCACGTGTGGCCCAGAGTGGCCAAGAGGACGGACACCCCTGCAAGGATTAGCACTGGCAGGTTGAAACGCCCGTTCTACTGTCCTGGATCCCCAGCAGGTGCTCTATCACACCCCTGTCCCCGCTGTCCCGTGTCACTTATACTCTAAGCATCACCCGTGCTTCTGTAACAGGCTGGCAGGAGGCATCTGTGCTGAGCTCCTAAAACAACAGACAGACGCCCGAGTGGCGGTGAGGCAAATAGCCCTGCTCTGATTGCCGAAAACTCACAGCTGGGAGAGGACCGATTCCGTGTGGGCCGCATGGGGACCACGTGAGAGGGAGCGGGTGTGCGTGTGCGCGCATGACCACACGCGGGGTCACTCCGGCTCCTGCCTGAGACGGCTACCTGGAGGGGCCAACAGACCTCCCCAGGAGCGTTCCTTCCCTACTGCCAGAGGCCGGGAGTGCGGGAGGGCGCCAGCAATGCGCTGAGGTGGATGAGCGTTGGCCCTCATCGAAGAACGAAAGATGCGTGGTCCCAGCGTGATATCCAAAACCCTGGCCAAGGCTCTCGTGAAAGGGGAAGCCTTCCGACCCTCAACAGGCCCAGAGGTGCGTTCCCAGCTCAGGGCTGCACCAGTCAAATCGTGACCTTCACGCGCCCCTTCTCCCCTTCCTCTGTGCACCCCAGTTCCTGGAGGGTCAGAAACGGAGTTTGTGGGAGGAGAGGGGGCGCCAACGGCCTCGTGGGGAAAGGGAGACGTAGCCATCTGTGTCATCCCTGATGGGTGCTGAGGCTCCAGGTGGCAGGCCGCATGGGACAGTCTTCCTTTGTCCACCGACATCAGTCTCCACCCTTCTCTGCCCTGCACGGTGGCCTGTGGGTGGCCTCAGCCGGCCCCCGGTGCCCTGGCTTTCCCTCAGGTTGGCCAGTGCGAGGCGCCCGCAGGAGGCTGGAAGGGGAAGGGGCGGCCAGAAGGCGGGCGGGTCACCCCAGCCTGTCCCTGCTGGGCTGCAGTTGGCGCGGCCACTCCTCCTCTTGCAGGCTCCACCCGCTCTGGGGACCCTTCCTTCAGCCACAGGTCGTGTTCAGTAACGGAGCCTTCTCGTGCCCCTTCAGGCCTAGGACAGACCGCAGCTTCCCCATCTGCTGATTTCACCGAATCCCACACTCCCATGGGTAAGAGATCCTTCGATGAACTCACACACACGCCACCTGCCTGCTGCCCGCGATGTGTTCCCGACGGGGAAGACCGCAGCAGGACACAGCGCAGCCCCCGCACCCAGCCCCATCCCGCCCTCCTGTGCCCCTCTGAGCCACACCCGCCGCCACCCCGGGTCCCGGCGGTGGCTGATCTCGCCTCCACCCCCCTGGTCTTGCCTTTTCCAGAACGGCACAGGGACAGAAGAGCTCTTAGACACTGAGTTGAAAGGCTTGGGCAATAACCGAACACATACCCGGGGGTATGGCTATTACACTTCCTAGAACCCGGACCAAACAGCTCAGGTTTCCTGTCTGCACAGCGTCTGCCCGGCCGCTCACGGGGCCAGCGCGGGCGGGAATGTTCTCCACAGGAGGCACTTCTGCGCAAAGGCCCACTCCCACGAGGGACAGTGCGGCGCAGTCTCTGGCGAACACGCAAGTTGGAGCAGCATTCACTCCACGCTCTCAACTCTCCCAGAAACCTCCTTCTCCCTGTTCAGCGCCTGGCGTTATTTTTAACAGATCGACTTTGTATGAAAGACTGGGCGGCACTGAAGAGCGCAGCACGTTGGTAATAAAGGTCACGTTAGCTGTTCAATTAAAGTCTACTGCTACATTAAAAAGTATACATGGAAAATAGCTTTTAAAGTCTCTAAAATATTATTTGGATTAAGATTTTATGCCTCATTACCAAGCTGTTAGTGTTTTAAATTTAGGCCCTAGACCTTGAGTATTTAAAAGAATAACAAACTTAAACGATGCCAATTTTTTTCTGTAATATCCATTCTTAAATTGCCTAGTAAGAATAATTTCTCAAATCATTTTGCTAGGCATGAGAGATTAGATTTTTACTTCCCTCTTTATTATTTCCTGTATTTTTTTTTTTTTGCCTTAAAACAGCATGTGTTTTTAAATTTTATTTCTTAAATTAAAATGCAGTAAAGCGGACTTGTTCTTGTGGTGTACAGTTTTATAAGTTTCAACACATACACAGGGGTACCTCCCTTTATTGCGCCCCACAAATGCTGTGCTTTTACAGCTTGAGAGCAGAAAGCCCACGACTCGCTCTGCTGAGGCGCTCACTATACCGTGGTGGTCTGGCCCCGACCCACCGCGCCGCGGGGGGCGCCTGCACACATTCCGGTGCGCGCCCCACTCCGGACGCGCAGGAGCTCCGCCAGCCCCCCTCCCCGTGTGCCCCTCTGGAGTCACACCCGCCCGGCCCCTGGTCCTGGAAACCACGGGTCTCCTCCATTCCTGTGGCTCTGTCATTCAGCGGGACTTCAGGGGATAGCAAAGAAAAGAGGGACATTGGGGGCTGGGGCCACGCCGGTGACAGTGTGGGGCACCCTGCGTGCCCTCATGAGGTGGGACAGGGAGTCAGGGCTGCGGGCGGGACGCTGTGCACCGAGCGCTGCAGAGACATGTCCACATGCACGGAGCGGGGTGGAAACGCACCGCAAACCGCATCAGGGGTAAGAATTTAAAATTGACGGAGGAGACGTCGCAAACAGCAGGGAAAGAAAGGATCCTTTAATAAGTGGTGATGGTAAAGTAGATTACGTATTTGGAAAAAAATTTAATTTGGATACCCACCTTCTGTCAGAATGGATTATAAAGTATTTTGTTTTGTTTTCAAAGAATAAAAAAAAAAGAGTGGAGAAAGTTTTTTTCAAGCCTGGGGAAGAATGATGAATTTATAGATTTTTAAGCCACAGAAGACATTCCAAAAGAAGATTAATGTATTTGATTATATTAAAATGTACACTTTGAAAGGAAGAGTGTGTAACGGGGAGGGAACCAGCAAGCCAGGGCGGACGGCTGCGGTGCCTGCAACGGACGGGGAGGGCCACCTGCGGAGCAGTTACCGCGCTACTAGAAAACGGCTAAACGAAGGAGTGGAACGCTGACTTAACCACCACGAGTGGGCCACTAGGTGATCGGGCACGAGGACGCTCCCGCTGGGAGACCCCGCCTGGGCCCGCCCAGGCTCGGAAATGGCCACTTCAAGAAATACAAGTTAAACCAATCGCGAGGCGCCTTTTGGACCCCTTCAGTTATCAACATTCTAAAGCAATGTTAAAATTCACGCTGGAAAGGATACGAAACTAGAACAGTCACACAATGTCAGTGGCACTGTAAACCACGCCTCTCTTTTGTGAGAACAATTTAGCAACCTTCATAAAAATCCGCAAAAGCCTCCACACTCTGGCCTTAAATCCAATTTTTAGGAAGATGTTCTGAGGAGAGAAAGTACCCGCCAAAGGAAAAAGCCATCTGTCCCCAGCACCCACCCTGACTCCTCCTCGAGTCCCCCAGGCCTGGGCTGGCCTCTCCTCTCCTTGGGTCCAGACACCCTGGCTTCTGCCAGGCCCAGGACACACGCACCATACGGGACGACCCTTGCGGCCAGGCCCCACCTGGGAGGTTCTTCCATGGCGGCTGCCCCAACCTCTCGGGCCTTGATTTAAATCCCACTCTTTCAGAGAGGTCTTTCCAGACCATTCTGGAAGAGTCTGAGCCCTTCGCTGTTTCTCCCCGCGATGGTTCCTGCGCGTCTCCCCACCGCACTCCTCGCCCAGCGCACCTTGTCTCACGAGCAACACATTTGCTGCCAGCCGGTCTCCCCGCTCGCAGGGGGAGCCCCTGGAGAGCAAGGCGGGCATCCCTCTTAGTCTCCGATGGTGTCCGGCGCAGGCTGGTATACAGCAAGTGCTCAGGACTTACTTGTTGACTGACTGACTGAGCAAATGGGTGAACAAGCAAACATATGTAATTCTCAAAAGGACCTAAAGACTCAAATGATGACCAAAAGGATAAATACACTCTGAGAGTTAAAAATCAAAGAGCCCCAACAATTGCCCAGGACCCGAACAAACGAGCCCCTTTGAGAATGCCGTCCGCCCGTCTGTGTGGGAGGCCCGCACAGCTCCCCCAGGCTCCTGCTTCCTCTCTGGAAGCTCTTCTAACTGCCCAGCCAGCAGGAAAGCACAAAGAGAAGACTTCTGGCAGCACAGTGGATCTCCCCCCAGCCTCCTGGTCTATTCCCATAGAAATATATCAAATATATCTACGACGACTAGAATAAATATCTCAGAATCCTTTTAAACACACAGCTGAAGTGGAAACCAAGAAAGGACCACGCACAGGTGCTAGCAGCAAGGAGGGAACCAACGCTAGACCAGCAAGCACACGAGTCGTTCCCGCGACATCCCAGGGGCTCTCTGGCCTGCACGGGGCCCTGGGCTCCATCTAAGGTGGGCTATAAGGGGCTGGCGCTGTGTTCCATTTGTGGTTGGGAGACCTGGGATTGCACAAGCCTGGAAGTAGGTCTGGCACAGTTGAAGACGATTAGTGAACTAGAGAAGATTATAGGAAAACAGTCGGAATGCAGCCCAAAGACATAAACACATGGGAAATATAAAAGAGAGTCTAACAGACATACCAAACGGAGTGAGAAGGTCCAACATACATCTAATAGGAGTTCCAGAAGAAGACCTGTGGGAATGCGGTAAGGAGAACAATCAAAGAATAATGGCTGAAAATGTTCTAAAGCCCATGAAAGACACTAGTCCTCAGAGTGAGATAGAAGGTTAAATAAACAGACATCTGTACCCAGACGCATTGTAGGGAAACTGTAAAGTAATAAAAATAATGAGAAAATCATAAAGGCAACCAGAAAATGAAAAAATAATCACCTTTTATAAAGTATTGGCAATTAAATAGCAGACTCTCAACAGCAAGAATAGAGGCCAGAAGACCATGAACAATAACTTCAAGGTGCTAAGAGAAAATAACTCCAAACTCAAATTCTGTTCCCTGTTAAATCTTCATTAAATAATAAGGGGAAACTGGACACTTTGAAAACAAAGACTGAACTCACCACGCACAGGACCTCACTAATACACTTCAGGAGATCGAATTCAGAAGAAAAGAGTGAGACTTAAAAAGCAGTGGTGGGCAAACAAGCTGGTAAACCTGAGAAAATCTAAACAAGCATAGACCACATTAAATAATAATAACAGCAGCAGCTAATTCAGGTACTATCAGAAAAAGACAGGCCTTGGCTGGGTGGCTCGGTGGGTTGGGAGTTGTCCTGCAAACCCAAAGGTTGCAGGTTCAGTTCCCAGTCAGAGCACATACCTAGGTTGCAGGTTCAACCCCCGGTCATGGTGTGTACAGGAGGCAACCAATCACTGTTTCTCTCACATAGATGCTTCTCTCTCTCCCTCCCTCCTTCCCTTCCTCTCTCTCTAAAATCAAAAAAAAAATATCCTTGAGTGAGGGTTTAAAAAAAAAAAAAGAGGCGGGATCAAAGCACTAGGCAATGGTAATGTGTAAGTTAAAGGTTCTTGTTTTATTCATGACAGCAGAAATATTGATTAACTTTATACTTTGTAAGTTTAGAACATATGTTAAATATTTAAGGGTAATCTCTACAAGAATAGAAATAAAATATTTAAATCCCCAGGCAGTGGAAAGAAAAAGGGGTGATAAGAAAAACTCAGACAGAACCAAACATGATCGAGGAGGACATAAAAGACCAGCTGAGTAAGCAAGAGAGTACAAAGTAAAGTGGTAGGGAAATCCCAAAGAGCCATCACAATAAATGGAAACAGACTAAACTTCACCGCTAAAAAGGCAAAGATGTTCATTTTGGAATTTGGAAAATACAGATATTTGCTATTTTACAGGAAACACACCTAGAATGTGACAACCAAAGAGTAAAAGGCTGGGGAAAGACACACCTGACAACTACTAATCACAAAGGACTGTTACGGGTATTGTAACATCCGGTACGGTGGCCACAGGAGTCAGAGGGATAACAAGTATAACTATAAAGGGATCAGTTGACCAGGAAGCTGTGACAAACTTTCACTTCCAGAGACGCGCACCAGGGGGGACACCTGATTACAACTCATGTACCTGGGCGTTCGCCTTGCTCTTGCCTCTGTGCCCTGTCCCACCAGGAAGTCTGGGCGCGTGGGGTCAAGGGCACGACTCAGGAGACCCTGGGTGCCTGGCTAGACCAGGCCATCACGACAGCCCAGCGCTGGCGTCTTCCACCTCCTCACCGCTCCCTCCAGGCCCCGGTCAGAGTCTTCGGAGCCGCCACCACTCCAGGGAGCGCCGCCGGCTCCGGACGGCTTGGTATTCATTTCTGCATTCTCGGCACCTCCCCCTATGTCTGGCAGAGAGAAGCACTCAACGTGTGTCCGTTACACTTATGATTTGGGAGACTATGAAGGCAATGTGAAGAATGTCTGTAATATGCATTCCTATTTTACAAGCACAATATAAAACTATAGATATATTTGGATTACAAATATGTAAAAATTATATATCTATGTGCATACAAAACAGAACAGAATGTGCGAAAATGAAAACAGTAAATTTGTTATGTAAGGTGGATGGCAATGTTGTGTTTTTCATTTTTCTTATTACTATTAAATTATTATCTGTATAATTTTGAAAATGAAATAAAAAGAAATGTCTATATAACTTTTAGTTATCCGAGAAAGTAATCCCTAAAAATCCTAACAATGTACAGGCAGGACAAGGACAATGAAGCGGTTTGCTGTACCGCGGAGATATTCACTCCGAGGGCCGCGCTCTGCCTTCCGCCATAGAAGCCACATGGTGGGGGCGGCGACTCTCCGAACATGTGGGGCGCTGAGAAGAAGGGGGGATGCAGTGGGAGATGGGCCAGCTGGTCCAGCTTAGGACCGCTTTTCCCTCTTCCTTCACCCAGGCAGCCCCGCGGTGCCCAGCAGAGACCAGAGTTCCATAGGACAATCTTTCCAGGAGCCGCAGTGCCGCTGCCCTGGGAAAGGGTTCCCTGAGTTTCCTGGACAGAAAACCAGGTACATGAGAGACAACACCCCTTACCCGGAGTTCCGTCTATGCACGCCTTTTCCACCTGAAAGGAAACAGGGATCCTTGGAGAAATGGCTAAGCCCAGGTCAGGGACATGGGATGTACCGGGACACCTGGAGCACTGTCCTACAGGGACCAGAGAGCCACAGGGGGCTCAGAGGGTCCCATCAGCAGGACTCAGGCCAACGCGAAAAGGCTCCCACTGGCCAAGATGGAACAGATTGCGTATCAATGAGAACAGCAACTGTAATGGATTAAGACAAATAAGCCTATATCCATGAATTCATAATACTATATATATATATATTTTTTTAATCCTCATCGGAGGATATGTGTATTGAGAGAGAGAGGACAGGAAAGAGAAACATCAATCAGTTGCCTCCTACATGTACCCTGGCCAGGAATCGAACCCACAACCTACCTATGTGCCCTCACTGGAGATTGAACCTGCAACCTTTTGGTGCACAGGACAACAGCCAACCCGCTGAGCTACCAGCGAGGGCCATAATGATATTTTTAAAGAAAAATCGCTCATTGTTCACTTGTGGAGGATGCTGGGAAACCAATTCATTTTGAAAACTGATAAGTGAAGAGCAAGAACCATGGACACCCTGCCTTTCTTAGGTTAATGGTGTCTCATTGTTGCCAAATCATCGGAGAGGGAGGTTTTCTTTACCTCCGACCAATAAAAGAGGGAACGAGGTGCGCGGCGCGTCCCGTTAACAACGGCTCGTCCGTGAGCCGCTCTTCGTCCCACCCACCTGGCTGCTGCTGTCACGAAGAGAGAGACCACCCATCCATACACGCTTGCCCCCACCCGTGAAATGTCCTCACCCCCAAATTGAACAGGGGTCTGTATATCCACCCACGTAAAGGCAGGGGTAGGGGAAGGGAGGCAGGAAGACACATTAAATGTCACTGTGGGTTGCAATCAGTCAGATTTATGTTGTAGGAAACTCCACATAACAACCAACCCAGACTTCTACAAAGGCCTGGCACGGGAAATAATTAGCAAATGGAGAGGGACTCTAGAGATTACAAAAGAACTGTGGCAAGTCAATCAATGGAAATGTATAGGCTTTATTTGGATCCTGACTCAAACTATGAAAGAAAATATGAGACAGTCAGTTAAATTTGAACCCTGCCTGGGTATTTATTATTATCCTCGATAATTCTGTGAGGTGTGAACACTGCATTTTCACCATGTTTTAAAAAAGAGTTCTTATCTTCGGGAGACACAGTGAGATCTTTCAGTGAAATATGATGTCTGGGGCTTGTGTCAAAAACACTTGGGGCGGAGGAGGAGCGGCCAGGGATACACATGGGAGGCCGGGCACGGGCCTGTTCCCTCACTCTCTTTACTCTCGCATGCGTTTGAATTTTCAACAGCAACAAGTCCAAAACGTTAATAAAAAATAAATGAAGCTGTTCTGTATCCTCACGGTTGACGTTTGGGGGAAAAAGGTGTCAAGGAAACAACGGGGCTCTTACCTTTTCATTAACTGGATGAAAATTCGCCTCGGCAGTCGGCGCACGAAGGTATCGAGGACGATCTTGAGGTAATTCAAAGATATGTACCCGCACTGGGAGGGGTCCCCCGCGCTCAGGGCTTTTTCAATTTTCTCACGCGACTTTGAAAACTGCAACGAAAGAAAATGAGCGTGTGGCCTCCACAGTAACTGACTTCACGGAGCTTTTCAACCATGTTATTTTTTTTTTTGCCAAAATCCCTTCCCATTTTCCTCTCCGAAGACTGATCAAAAAGGTTACGATGGCATGTACCGAACCTCAAATGTTTAATTGATGAGCTCCTACACAACAGCGTCGCCAGTCACATCCACTCAAGTGGCGAGGCAGACAAGTTTCTCCAGGAAAAGCGGCACATGTCATAGCTCCGCCTCGAATCTCAGAGCTGCGAACCCTCCCGAGCTGCCAGTTTGATGCATCTTTCTTAATATACTTTGGAGCCTCCCCTGCTGTGAGCCCACCCTAGGCTCCTCCTGATTAAGTCCGGTCGATCAAACAAAAAAGCTGGCAACACTTTATTAAAAACACAAGTAGCTTTTGTACTAAGGAAAATTATTAATATAAGAATTGCATAAACAGTACACATTGGACATTTCTTTAATTATTCTTTTTTCTTTAATGGGGAATTACAAAGAGCCGGGGTGAATGCGCTTTGCTTATGGGACTTCTAAAATGCGGTAAAGTAGGTTAACCGCTGATTTTTATATGACTCATAAAAATACGATGAAGATTGGTTTTCTTTCCAAAGGTTTTCCTGCTGTTTATTATTGAGTAATAACAATATTCTCCAATATTTCCAGCCCTCTCCACTTCGTCTGATTTCTGTTTTTCTTGCTAACTGGGGTAAGAAGACAAACGAAATAGCCACCATTTGATATAAAAGGTGACTTTTTAAGCTGCTGGAACCTGGAACTATATGTACAAGAGTCTGTATCCATAAAAGAAAAAGGAAGCAGATCCACTGAAAGTTCCATAGGGTGTCCAGGAATACTGGAAATCCGTAGAGGAAGTCTTGAAAATATTTAGAGATTCACAGAGCGTAAGCTTCTCAGAAAGTTGCGTAAAATTAACCCAATATGTGGCTAAATTTGCACACTTCTCCTTGGGGGAGGTGAGGGGTGGGATGGGAGCCCGGGGAAGGCCCTCGGGGTGAGAAGCCAGGGCTGCAGGTGAGCGGGCCTCCTGGCGTCCCCCGCTGCCGAGTCCACTTTTAATGACATTCGGCCTCGGGAGGTTTTGTTTCAGGAAAGGGCCTCTGATAGCAACGGTTTTAGAAGACGATCAGGGAGTGAAACAAATAGACATGTATAACCTTTTAGGACTTTTCAAGGTTCCTGTTTACAACGAAATGAAAAGATAAAAATGCAAGCAATTCCGTGGCGTATGTAACGGACATGAAGGTGCCTGGAAGTCTCACCGCCCAGTTCTGTGCAGTGTTCCCAAACCCCCACGACAGTCACTTAGACACTTAATTATATAAAGTGGGGTCATACTATACACCTTCACATTTGACAAACGCCTTCTCATTTAACAATATGGCATGGACTTTTTTCTTCCGTAAGAACTAGCACCTACCTCCATCATTCTTTTGGATGATGCGTGGCGTGAGACACGCTGTCTGTGGGCCCCTGAGAGGCTCGTCATTTTCCACGGTTACACATTCAATTTGTATAAATGTTTCCCCGATCCCCAATCTAAATGAGGTCCCCCTGTTATTCTCTCTCGTAACACCTGTCCTTGGCTGTCACGCCACTCGAGGAAAGCTGTATTTATGACTGTGCTTGTGTGTCTGTTTTAGAACGTCTTTATTTGGTGCGCCTCCCCACCCCGAGGTTCGGGCACACGGGCGGTCGCCAGGAGAGCAGAGACTGCCCCCGTTTTGTTCACTAACAAGTACCTCGGATGAAGCACAATTTGGCATGCAGTACGCACTCATTAAATATTTGTTGAAAATGAAGTTTTCTACCAAAAATGTTCCAAAGGAAGGTTGCGGAAAAGCTATTTGACACATCAGTTAAAAAAAAAAAAGTGAAAATTAAAATCGTGGCTGAGAGGCATCCCACCTGCCTCAGGGCAGGAAAAACATCAAACTCCCACGTCGCGAAGTGGCAAGAGCGCAGGAACAACAGGCGCTCTCGGCTGCGGCCGGCGGCCTGGGGAAGCCTTCCCACGCCCTCCGACCAGGAGGCGTGCACACGCCCACATACGGGGCATGTCTGTATTGGCACAAAGCAGGACGCGTTGCGAGTGTCCCTCCCTGGCAGGGGGTGGGGGTGTGTGATTTGTGTAGATGTGGGTAGTGGAAGACGCTGCAGCAGTGAAAATGGCAACACAGCTACATCCACTGTAAGGTGATTCCGCCCCTACTGCACACACACAGGATGAAAGCAAGTGGCTTTCCAACGCTGCAAACACACGACAAAAACAAACAAACAAATATCAAGCAAAAGACAAAGAACCCACCCAGTCTGTGTGGAAACAATACAAAAAAATATATCACCTGTAAAGGTTTCATGCCATTAAAAGGAACTAAATAAAAATATAAAGTCATTCAAAGAAAAGCTTGAAGACAAGGTGATAAAACAAAAGCTATGAGAAGGGTTATTTCAAAGCTAAGAAAATAGAAAATGAAAGCAACATCATTATATGAAATAGTAAATTAGAAACAGCAAGGGTAAGCGATGAGGCTGAGATGGAAACTAACAGTAAAGGAGCGGCCGGAACGAACCTCACTGAAGGCAGAGGCAACAGACAACATGATGGAAGCGACTCAAGACCAAGGACAAAGATGATCCAAGGTGCGGGTGACTGGGAGGACACAGGAAGGAAGGAAAGAGGGAAGAAAGGCAGGGGGCGGGGGAGGGCCGAGGGGGGGAGGAGATTTCAGTGAACGAACAGGGAAAACTTCGCTGCAATGGAAGAGCTAATCTGGACAGCAAAGAACCCGCAGCGCTGCAGAACACGCAGACCAAACGCCCAACATCCACACAGCTTGCTGTTGCTTTTTAATTTCAAGGATCAAGAAAAAACACTTCAGGTGTTTAGGTAGGGAAACAATCACCTACAAGGGGAGAAAAAATGAGTTGACCTCAGGCTTCTTCTGAAGAATGCCCAGGGCCAGAGGACAATGGAAAAATACAACATTCCGAGAAAAAGAGAGTCTGATGGAAGAATGATACCCAGCCAAGTTGTTGTTCGAGTACAAGAGCAAAAGGGAGATAGTCTCTGATATGAAAAACAACGGGAAAAAGCACCCATGAGCCTTCCTTAAGGAAATTACTTGACAATGAACTCAGCCAACTGGAGAATAAATCAAAATAAAGAACTCGGAAAGGGAGAAAATATTAACAGTAAGTGTGGCAGTACGGCTGCGTGCGGATAAAATGAAGGCAAAACAGCCAGGAAGTCCCCGTGCGGGGGTACAGTGTAAATGCGAGGGGCTCTGCGGACTGAACGTACACAGCACAGACAGCGGGGCGGGGCGGGGACTTAGCGGGGAGCCAGCCCTCACTGTCTGTAATTAAGACATCCTTCAAAAACCCCACAATTTCTCCCATTCTTAATGGCTTTCCTAATCTCTTTTCTTGCCTCAAACTCCCTTTGGGCGCCCAATGTCTCCTGTGCTGATGGAACATTTATCTTTCAAAGTTCACAGATGTCTTTGGTTTCGCTTGAGGACAGCACTGTGGGCGAGGACTAGGGGCTTAAACACAGCCCCGGGACTTACAGCAGCATCACCTGGGCAAGTCCTTAAACCTCTCTGTGCCTCAGTTTCCCTAGCTTGGAACTGGGATGATAGCAGTTGCTGGGAAGCTGGAACAGAGGACCCCTGCGAGGCGCGCCCAGCATTGCCCGGCGGGTCGGAAGCCCCAAAGACACTTAAACTCCACAGGCCTTATTTGCAAAGGGAAAAAAGCATGATTTCTTCTTCTAAAACTGCCTCTGTCCACGCACCCACTCACCCACCCACAGCTGCAGCCGCGGCCTCCTTCTGGCGTTGCGAACTAAAGCCAGGCCGAGAATTACATCCGCCAAATACTGCCTTTGATTGTGGCTGGGCGGTAGATTCTGAATCATTTATTCCTTTCCTCTTCCTGCTTTTCAGAATTGCTCACATTTTTTTGTAATGGTCATGTGTTTTATAATGCTCATGTTTTCTATGAAAACGATAAATTCATGAACAGCAAAAGAAAAGTTTTACCAACTGACCAAGAGTATATGGAAGGGCCCACTTCTCTGATACCCTGAATGAGATCGGCTTTTCTTCATTTTTTCACTGACAGTTTTCTGCTGAAAGTATTACGTTAACGATTTGTGAAAGTTCTACGTGTGGTAGGAGCAGTGACCATTCATCTCGCTCGCGTGGTGCACATTTCGCCCAGTCTATCCTTTGTTTATGGAAGTTCTGCTGTAGAAAGCTTTTTCATTTCGATGCAGTCTAATTTATCAATCTTTTTCCTTTACGCCTTTTGGGCTTTACTTCACATGTAAAAACCTAAATGTCAAGGTTAAAAAATTTTCACCCACATTATTTTTCAGTGTAAATAACGGATGCACATAGAATTTATTTTGGTGTGAAGAGCAGAAGTTTCAGCCTTTCCCCCCAGACGGCAAGCTGGTGAGTTATCCCAATAATTAGCCTCTGCCCCGGCCCTGCTCCACCGGGCCTCAGCCACCGGCTGAATTCGCAGCGGAAGATCAGTCTATTGGCCACCCGCTGCTCTGAATCCATTCGAATGTCCATTACCGTGCCAGGACCGCACTGTCTTAATGACCACACCTTTATAACATTTTCTCTGTGATAGGATAAGTCCTCTATTGTAACCTCTAGAAAGAAAAAAAGTACATATCTTCATCCAGATGTAGGGAGATGATCAGGCATTAAAAATGAATATTCCAATCCAAGAATTAGAAAAGACCTCTCTTTTATTCAAGCTTTTCTTTATTTTCTCCATGAAGCTGTGTCATGTTTTTATGTGTCTTAGATGTTTTTGTAAGATTTAGTGCGAGAGAAGCACAAAGGAAGCACTGAGCGCCGCGTCGCTATGACCGACGCGTGGCATTGTTCTCCGGAGGCGGGTGAAGCAGAGCGTTGGGGGTGGAAGTAGGATCGAAACTAATTTTAGGGACGACGCCTGACTCGGTGGCTTTCCACGGCTGCCACCTTCTCTGTCCACATGGGAGACAGCCCTGGCGTTAGGAAAACATCTTACCTCCTGGCAAAAGGTCCTTCCAATTTCATCTAAGGAGTAGTCTTCCCAGGAGCTTTCGGATAAATCAGAACTGAGGAGGCAGTCCCTTCTGGAATTTTTGACTTGTTGATTCTCCCATGAGACCTCTGGTAAAACAAAAGAGCATTAGTTTATCAATATTGTCAAAGGTACATTTAAATATAAATGTTTCCTTTTCTTCATAACCTGACTGGTAGAAATTGAGACCTGAATAAACCAAAACCATGATGAACTATGTAATAAAGGATATTGAAGTAACTGGATGAACATGTTAGAAAAAAATAAAATTTATCTCTTTGCTATCCGGGATAAACGTTGGAGTCAAATGTACACCAAGTAGAATAATAAAACTATAACAAAAAAATGAAGATGAATACTACATAATACATAATATTTGAGTGAGAAGTCCTTTCTAACTATCACTTTAGAGCCAGAAATCCTTTAAATAATGACTAGATCTGACTATTTATTTATTTTTGTTTGGTTAAACACATACACACACACAAATAACAATGAAAGAAAAATGAGTGGGAAAAACTACTGTTAATACACATGAGAAATACAGGTAAATTTCCATAATATAAGAGTAGCTCTTACAAGTCAGTAAGATAAATACACTCAGAAGAGCAATAGACCAAGGTTATAAACAGATAATTCACATAAAAAGGACTTAAAAAAATCCAACAAGTGTATGAAAAACTGCTCAAAGTCATTGGCAATTTTAAAAGTCTAATTAAAACAAGTTAACATTTTTTTTCCACTTGTCAAGAAGGCAGGGATTAAAGGGAGTAATAAAGGAACCAGTTAGTCGGAGCTTGGGTAGAGAAACCGGGCACTTGAACGCTGCTCAGCCTCCTTCTAGAACTTGAGAGCAGAGGGCTGAGAGGGCCCCTCGGCACAGGCCGGGGGAAGGCTGCTTTCCGCGGCGGGTCTGAGCGGGAAGAAACTGGCACAATGTAAGTGCTCGTGAATGGAGGGCTGGCTTTATAAACGACGGCTCGTCCAGGGTATGAAACACTGCGCAGATAGGAAAAACAAAGGTGCCTGTCTCAGTTAATGGAAGTGGAGATTTTTCTTTGATATACATTGTTTCATGGCTGAAAGAAAAAACAACTAGCATAATTTAATTCTCCTTTTAACACTTCTTTTGTGTATTTGCCTATGCATCCATCCACCCAGGCATCATGTCCCTCCGTCCGTCAGTCCATCCATCCACCCGTGTGTCAGAAACAAAATCTGGGAGGATAATACATCGAAAAAGGTTACAGTGGCGGGGTTCAGGTGGATTACAGGGGGCCGTTATTTTGTGTTCATGTGTTTTCTGGCTGCTGCTGCTGCCTTTTTTTTTTTTTTTGCAATAAGCATGTATTATTTTTATGATAAAAGATAATAAAATAAATCTAAAATATAGCCATTTCTTTCTCAAAGCTGACTGCAAGAATCACAAATGGTTTCCCAGATTTATTTCCTAACATGTCTGCAAATAAGCTCCACTCAAATTAAGCACACTTGTAACTACTCAGCTGCAGTTAACAAACTGCCAGTCATCTGGAATTCCATTTCTTACCAAAAGAAAAAAGAAAAAAAGGAAGGACGGAGGGAAGGAAGGAAGGAGGGAAGGGGGGAGGGAGGGAGGAAGGAAAGAAGGAAGGAAGGAAGGAAGGAAGGAAGGAAGGAAGGAAGGAAGGAAGGAAGGAAGGGAGGGAGGGAGGGAGGGAGGGAGGGAGGAATATAGGGAGGAAGGAAAAAGGGAGGAAGGGAGGGAGGAGGAAGGAAGGAGGGAGAGAAGGGAGGGAGGGAGGAAGGGAGGGAGGGAGGAAGGACAAGGAAAGGCCCCCCAGTGGACCCTCTGGCTACTGGTAAAATACAAAGCCAGTCAATCCTTCAGAACTCAGCCTGGGATGCTGGGGCCTCGGTGGGCCAAGCACTGGAAACGCGGGCTCTCATAAGAGTGGGCACAGCCCTGCTGAGAGATGAGGAAGCCACAGCTGAACCGGGTTCTACCTTGGCCACATGCTTGGTGACACTGTGTCCTATGCTCCCCTCCTCCGGTGGCACTGTCAGGGATGCACACAGCACATCTAGGAAACCCATGGGACCCCGTAACCCGCAAGCCAGGCCCCGGGGCAGGGTGGGGGGGCTGGTGAAGGCCTAAGGCCTGCCCTCGGGAGCCCATCTCGCGGGCACCGAGCAGCTGCAACGCCCATGACCACTGGCTACAGACCCAACCACACCTCATCCGCGTGTGCCAGGCTTCAGTGCAGCTTTGTCATTCCTGCCACCTCCCCGTCATCCCCAAATTTCCTCGGAAAATGTCTCGCTCACTTTGTAATGGGGTGAAGAGCAGGGGTCCTTGAAAACTCCCCCAGTCTTGGGTTGAGGGAAGGGGGAGGTGAGGTTAAGATACTTTGCATAACAATGGCAAGTTGATAGCTGTGCCACCGCCCTAGGAAAAGGTGTATGTGCGGTGACAGAACCAGGGCAGGTGGAGGCCCACCCCAGATGTCCCGTGGGTCATGAGTAACTCTTGCCCGGACTAAAGATGGCCGCTAAAAGAAGGGAAAAGATATGGGGGAACTGGCAAAAGTAGAACATCACATAGGAGGGGCCCGATATGAGGTCACATAGGAAGTTCCAGACCAAGCATTTAAAATAAGGGCAGGCAGAAAGAGAAGGGGATTCCGCCACGCGGCCCGGGGCAGTACGGAGGAAGACGCCACGCAGTCTGCAACGAGGGAGCAGCTGCGTGGGGACGTGCCTAACCAAGCACGGGTCCGCGGGAGACGCTTGGAGCTGAACTCAACTGTGACCAGGAACGCGGAATGCAAACTTCTGCTTCTCTGAAGGATGTACAGAGAAGCCCCTCTCTTGGACGTGTGCCCCCGCGCCCCCCCCCGGATTCCACCATGATCCAGTGTAACACAGCACATGTTTCCCTGCCCATCACGTGGAGGCTGAGAACAGCGCACCCCAGATCCTGAAGGAGAGAGCTTCTACGAGAGGATGGTGGCTCTGAAACCCACAGTGCACCTTCCAGAAGGGTGGAGACCTGTCTGTGCAGCCGGCTCAAGAACAGACAAGGATGTGGGGACCTTCTGGGCATGGCGGTGGCTTAGAGCCCAGTGGGGAGCAGGGGGGGTGCTGGGTCTGGTGGGAGAGCAGGGCTCTGTGCAGCAGTGCTCTTGGACTCGCCCCCTGCCCCACCCCGAGGCTGGGGTCCTGTTAATAAAAACGTGTTTCCTTCAACACTGATTGTGGGGTCATGCTTTAAGATGCTACATGGATGAGCCCCAGTTTGGTTGGTTACAATTTGAAATTGGGTAGAAAGACATGGCTGGCTTTTTTGCACAACCACATCAAAATTACAACTAAAACATAGAACCTCCATCACTGAACCATCAGAAACCGAGCTGAATGGAAGTCTGACATCTACAAAATCAAGTTCAATGAAGCCTGACAACAACAGAATTAAAGAAACCACATCCACCCGCCCTGGTAGGAGGGGGGCAGATGCAGAACAGGCTGGTCCCACACTGACATGTGGTGGATAAAAATTTGGGAGGCAGGCTATTTCGGGAGCAAGGAGTCCCAGCCCCACACCAGGCTCCCCAGATTTGGTGGAAGAAACTCCTGGAGCCCGAGCAGGTCCTCTTAAAGAAGCCACACAGAGACTCACCTACTCAGACCACTCCCTCCGAGTTCCAGAACTGGGGTAGCAGCGTGAAAGGCACCAGTGGTACACAGGCAGAAGCTGAAGTGTCTGCCGTCACGGAGAGCAGAGGCCATTGTCCCTTTTCTAAGCCTCCCCCGGGACACACATACAAACAGAGCCAGCAAGCTGGTGGCACCTTTGAGACTCCATCAACCTGGCTAACACTGTTTGGCCCACCTTGGAGATCCCCAGAGACTCTGTCCCATCCAATTTATGGGCCCACCCAAGTTGCTTTTCCAGATGAATGGCTGGTCTTGGCTCATGCTTCACTTCTTAAATCCTATCAAACAAGCAACAGTTGGCTTCAGCGAGCCCCAGGCCTGGCACGAGCAGCAGCCAACTTAGATTCACAGCTTGGCTTTGCCTGGGAATCTCCAACCCAGCACAAGCAGCAGCCATCCCAGATTGTTTTATAGCTCGGGCAGGGTGGCCCCAGGAAAATACAGGTGGGAACTGACCTTGACCTGAACCACCCAGGAGACCCCAGAGCCTGCGCACCCAGCAGACATCTACAGACCATGTCAGAGCACCCTCACCCTGCCCCTGCACAGCTGATCCTGAGGGCGGAGGTTGGTGGTCAGTGGTCACAGCCAGTCCTTGCAGCTGACTGGCCTGGGTAAATCTCTCCCATTGCTCTCCCAACAGCAACCAAAGCTCAACCATAAGAGTAGGGTGTGCTCAGCCCACACAGAGGGCGCACCTTGAGTAACCTGCTTGGGTGATAGGGGAGGCTCTGCCACCGGACCCTATAGGACACCTACAACATTAGGCCACACTACCAAGACATGGAGTCAAAGCAGCTCTACCTAATACATAGAAACAAACACAGGGAGGCTGCCAAAATGAGGAGACAAAGAAACATGGCCCAAATGAAAAAACAGGTCAAAACTCCAGAAAAGAACTAAATGAAATGGAGAGAAGCAATCTATCGGATGCAGAGTTCAAAACACTGGTTATAAGGACGCTCAAGGATAACACTGGTTATAAGGTCCTCACTGATTATAAAGAACTGAGTGAGGACCTCAGCAGCATAAAAAAGATCCAGTCGGAAACGAACGACACACTAATTGAAATAAAGAACAATTTACAGGGAAACAACAGTAGAGTGGAGAAGCCAAGAATCAAATCCATGATTTGAAACATTAGTAAGCAAAAACAACCAATCAGAACATGAAGAAAAAAGAATCTGAAAGAAGAATCCAAAAATATGAGGATAGCTTAAGTACCTCTGGGACAACTTTAACAGGTCCAACGTTCACATTATAGGGATGCCAGAAGGAGAAAGAGCAAGAAATTAGAAATCTATTTGAAAAAAACAGTGAAAGAACACTTCCCTAATTTGGCAAAAGAACTAGACATGCAAGGCCAGGAAGCACAGAAAGTCCCAAATAAGATGGATGCAAAGAGGCCCACTACAAGACACATCACAATTAAAATGTCAAAGATTAAAGATAAAGAGAGAATCTTAAAAGCAGCAAGAGAAAAGCAGTTAGTTACCTACAGAGGAGTTCCCATAAGACTGTCAGCTGATTTCTCAAAAGAAACTTTGCAGGCTGGGAGGGATTGGCAGGAAATATTCAAAGTCATGAAAAGCAGGGAGCTCCAGCCAAAATTGCTCTATCCAGCAAAACTATCATTTAGAATCGAAGGGCAGATAAAGAGGTTCCCAGACAAGAAAAAAACGAAAGGGGTTTACCATCACCAAACCATTATCATATGAAATGTTAAAGGGACTTATTTAAGAAAAAGAAAAAGATCAATACTATGAATGATAAAATGGCAAAAAAAATACGTATCTTTCAACAGCTGAATCTAAAAAACAAACTAAGCAGACAAGAAGAACAGAGACAGGACCATGGATATGGAGAGCGTTTTGATTGCTGCCAGATGACGGGGAGCGTGTGGGGGAATGGGGAAGAGGTGAGAGGATTAAGAAGTACAAACAGGTAGTTACAGAATAGCCATGAGGATGCAAAATACAGTACAGGAAATGGAGTAGCCTAAGAACTTACACACATGACCGATGGACATGAACAATGGTGGGGGGACTGCCTGAGGGCATGGGGGGTGCGGGGGGTGAAGTGGGGCCAAGGGGAAAAGTCAGGACAGCTGTAATAGCATAATCAATAAAGTGCAATTTAAAAAATAGAAGCTGCAGCGACGTGTGGGGTTTAGAGTGTCTGTAAGAGTACGATGCATGACGAAGAGCAGAGGAGAACTGGGCAATGCGCTCACGAAGTCCTCACACTTCCTGGGAATTAATGGACTGTTATTTAAAGGTAGATTGTGATTAATTTAAAATGTACAATGGAATAAAATGCTCAATTTATCCAAGTTTCTTGAAATTATGCAAACTCTACAGAAAAATGGCAAGGGGCAGGCACGTGGATAGGGAAGGAAGGGGGCACATAATGCAAAACGGCCAAGATCCCGTGCCGGGAAAACGCTAACTCGAGGTACAAAACTACTTTACAGAACATCTTAATGAGAACATGAATTCCATAAAAGAATAAAAGAAGATAATAAAACAACAAAATGAAAGTGAAAATAATAAAGTAGGCCAAAGGAAACACCATGATAGAAGTAATAAAGTAGACACAGCAAGTAACAGATTTCAGTGAAAACCAAATTACGGGTACAGATAAAAGATCCAAGACGGTCCTTGAGAACAGAGGAAAAAGAGAATGAAGTGCGTGGGGCAGTTTTAATCAATTCAGAAAGCAAAGACATAAGGATGCTTTGTGCCACTGAGGTTAAAAACCTGAAAAATGGAACAGAAGATATTTGAAAAATATGTAATATTACTACGAAAAAACCCTTCACATAAAGAAATTAAATTGGCAAGTTGAAAATACACTGTGTTCTGGGAAATTGATACAGAAAGGCCACCACCAGGACACACCCCAGCCACACTCCTGAACCCTGGGGACGCACAGTCCTTCAGGCAGCCGGTTCTGCGCAGGGAGAAAGCAGGCAGCCGCAGGCTCTGCACAGCGAGCCTCAGGCTCATGGATATGGTCCTCACAGGGGCCTCGGCCGCGACAGCAACAGACGGAAGTCTGTCAGGGTCTGCGGGGGGAGTGTGACCCGCTGATGTGACATGCCGTCAAGAGCTAGACAAGCTTTTCCTCAGTTTTTCATTTCAATTTCTATTTTTCTGATACACTCAAACAAAAATAAACACACAAAATAGCATATACAGAGTCTGGCACAAATAACACCCCTTCTGTATTACAAAATCATAAGCCTGTAATTCTGTAACAGAACAATATCACACTCAAGCACACCCTATGACATCTTAGGTGAAGTGTTCAAATTAAAACTATAAATTACTACACCTGTATTATTACCTATCCAACCATACTCAAGCAGACCTTACTTCTGCCGGACCCTGTGCATGACCTCATTTTTACAAATGTCTTTCTTCCTCTCTGTCCCTCCCTTGCCCAGATTTGCACGGGAAGATGCCAGAATTGGGACTGACAGTGGCCGTTTATTCACGGGCGCTCGTCCTCTTGCTCCTCTGCCCCTGTGCCTGCCTCCCTGGCTGCAGGGCCTATGAAGGAACACCAGCGCCCGGCAGGGAACAAGCGCTCATTAAACGGGGCCAGCTATCACAGTCGTCAGCTTGGTACGTGAACTCACTTAGGATGAAAACCCTCCTTCAATCAGTCTAGATCCCACCTCACAGCCCCCTTGGGTGACCGCATGGCCCCGGCTCCAGACAAACCTGCCCCGCCCCCGGGCCTCGGACCAGGGCCCCTTCCCTCGGTGTCTGCCACACGCACCCTGTGAGCCCTGGTCCTGCAGAATCGCCCCCCAGCTCGGCCGTCCCTCCTTCCCCCGTGAGCACCCCGTGGCATTTGTTCTTCCCTCGAAGGCATTTTAATCATTTACTTTGGAGCCGAACAGTCAAACCTCGACTCCACCACAAACCAGCTATATGATGACATTGGGAAATTCACTTAGCACCCCAAGTCCGAGATTTCTCAGCTGAAAATGGGATCATAAAACCCGTTCCACAAAACTATTGAGAGAAATAAACATTGAAATTAGGTTTATAAAATATCTATACAGAACACAATAAATAGTTGCTTTTGATTATTCTTTTTTATGGGACTTATTTTATTTCACCTGCCCTATTTAATATGTAGGTTATATACAGGGTCTGGCACAAATATTGCCCCTTCTTTTTATTACAAAATCATAAACATGTAATTCTGTAGCATAACAATGTCATACTCAAGCTCACCGTATGCTATTTTAGGTGAAATGTTCAAATTAAAACTATAAACTATGCCCTGGCTGGTGGGGCTCAGTGGATTGAGTGCCGGCCTGTGAACCAAAGGGCTGCCGTTCCCATTCCCAGGCAGGGCACCAGCCTGGGTCGCGGGCCAGCCCCCCCAGTAGGGGGCGTGCGAGAGGCAACCACACATGGATGTTTCTCTCCCTCTCTTTCTGCCTCCCTTTCTCTGTCTAAAAATAAATAAATAAAATATTTTTTAAAACACTATAAATTATTACACCCATATTATTACCCTACCCACCACACTCAAGCAGGCGTTACTTCTGCCGGACCCTGTGTATATATACATACACCTGCCCTATAGGTATGTATATATTAATAAACGCACACACTTGTTAAACATAGAATATGAACTTGGTTTTTAACCCAGTGAAGGGCCTCGTAGTACCTGACCTGCATATGAACTAACAAAACGTAAGCGACAAGGGGCTGTTGGAAGGTTACCTTGTCTCGTAATTCCCCAAACTTGGGAGGATTTAAGAATTAGAGCCCTAGAGTCTGCTAGAGACTCCCTCAGTGGGTGGCACCGAGCTGAACCCTGAGAATCTGTCATTTTTAAGCTTGCTGTTGAGGCAGATCTGAGAATCAGGTGCTCGGGGAATATTTGCTGCGCCGAGTCCCGCTGAAACCAGACAGCAACAGCCAACCTGGAATGCGCCACTCCTGGGTGGTGAACTCTGAGGCAAGAAACACCCCCGGCCTCCCGTGACCAGAGGGCTGCGAGGGGGCTCTCCAACCGCATCCCTCAGACACCGCCCCCAGGGGACTGGTGTCTGGGTGTCACGTTGACGAGGCTGGGATAAAGAAAGGCAAACTTCTCCTTCTCGGGCTTCTAAGCCTGCTGCGCCAGCCTAGTGTAAACTACTCAACCATTCGCCCTTTCATAGCACGACTCTGTCCCACCGTGAAAGGAACAGCAACATGCTCATTTTCAAAACCTCTGGAAAAGATGGCAGCAGCAGAACGAACCACCAATCAACGCCCGAAGGCACACTGCCTCAGAATAACCTGCAGTTCGGAATTTCCAATCACTCGCTGACATGCCACGTATGTGCTCCACATCACCGTGACCTCCGGGGACACCATGGCTCGTGGCTGCCCACTGTGGTGTGCGCATGTGCTGTGACTCACAGACCCTTCCTTCCTGTGAGACGTCGTGTTATTCTCACAAATCACGAGGCTGGGACTTCTTTGGGGATGACGTACATTCCCTAGTGGACACTATGTCCTCGGGACAGGAACGGCCACGGCAAAGGATAATGAAATCTTTAGCTCTGAACTTTACAAATACTTACCGTGATTTCCCATATAGTACCTAAGGTTTAGGTTATTATTTATACTGAGGTTCTTCAAAAAAATGTTATAATCCACTGCAGTATCTTTATCGATGCCGTAGTATTGTGCAAACCTGAAACGGAAACAGGCTTTAGTGATCAGAAATGAGGAGACAGAGACTAAAAATGAAGACAGCGTGTGAGTGCGGTAGCCTTTATGCTGCAGTTGGTATTCATTTTAATGTGTATTTCTAAATAGATCCGGAATTAAAAGTAAACCCCAGGGCTTCTTCCTTTCCTCTCTCGCAGACATGGTGACCGTTACTAAAACCCGCCAGCCTTCCTGGGAGAGGAGCAGCGAGCACCGGCCCCCAGAGTCCCACCGGACGGGAGGGGACGGTGGCGTTAGGGCAGGAGGCAGAGCGACTGTGGGGGGCAGGCCAAGCCGATTTTCCGCAAAAGAAGGTTAAAACTACACAGAAGGCTGCGCTGAAGCTTGAACGCACGGAGCCCAATTGCAGATCTAAGGGAACGCTGGCCATTAAGAGACGCAAGGCCTTTGAATTGGGAGGTGGTAAGAAGAGAAAGGGCCAAGTGATCCAGTTCTAAGCTCCATATTTTGTTTTATTATGTGACAATAAAATCTTGTGGATATGTTATTTAAAAAAAAAAAAAAGGCAGCCCTAGGAAATGGTACCCTTTCTTTAAAAATGCAGATACTTCTAAGGAGAGCCCTTGACTCTATGGTTGGGCAGCCGCACACAGAGACAAACGGAGCAGGGACGCCTGGGGCCCGCTCAGGGCGGCCTCGGTCCTCTCCTTTCTCTGGCGGGAGGAGGTGGCAGGGGAGCCTCGGCACAAACGTGGGTCCCACTTCCCTTTCATCATGGGCGGGTATGGAGCTGGGCCATGAGACAACATGGAACGTCACTCATCAGAGAAACCCAGAGCTGGGTGGAGGGGAGAACGTGGCCCATGGTCTTGACCAAGCACATCATTTCCCAGGGAAACTGAGACCCAAGGTAACTGTTTGAAAACAATCAATTGCAGTGGCCGAGGTGGGGGATGGGGGTCTTGTCACACACTATGATTTCTATAAAGAGGAAATTTCTATGCACAACCAATGTTTCTCCCTGAAATATATCAAGATTCTCCTTTTTTAAAGTTAAGATAAATGGGAATTTTTTCCAATTATTCAAATCTGCCACTTGATAAATTGTTTTCTAGATAATTTCTGCATTATTACATTTATTAAAAATTGTCAGTTTTTAAATGTTTGGTTACATTATCTCCATATGTGTTGGTTTCTATAATTATCTAATTCTGTGCTTTCTAAAAATTTAGTAATTATCACTTAAAGTATTTGTTATTTTCCTGTTTTCCAAATTTAACAAAGAGTAATGTCATGTATTCATTTCCATGCATACCTTTTTTTCCACTTTGATGAAGCTTGCCTATTGTTCTAAAAGGAAAAATTATCTTGAGATATGAGAGCTGCCAGATGTTAGCGCTGAAACTCCCTAAATAGCTCCCTCTTTTCATCCGTGGTGTGTCTGGTGACAAGAAGGCTGTACGTTCCAGAACCCAGACTGTGGTCCTCCCGTGCTCCTTTCTGAGTTTGCCCACCTCAGAAAGTGTTGGCTATTCTCTGCTCCAGGAAAATGTCAGGATGCTGATAGAAAAAAAAAAAACCCTTGCCACCAGCTTTCTCATTTTCTGCGAAAATCCAGCAATCCTGCAAACTGCTCTTTGCTCCTGAGAGCATCCTGACCTTTCCCGATGCCCGGCGCACCCCAGTCCCAGTGCCGGCTGCGTGCTCACCGAGCACAGACAGAACTCACGGTAACAGCGCCCATGCGTATAAACTTCCAAAGATGCAGCCTCAGCACTGCCCAGGATGCACCGTCTCAAAGGGCTTTTTCACAAGAATAAAGGCCTGGGAGACACACCATACCTCAGATGCCACAACCAAGGACATTTTTCCAGGGATCTGAACTCACATGTCCACAGAGACCTGTAGGCAGGTTGTGGCACGTGGGAAGGCCGACTTTCAGGACAAAGGGCAGACACCATGCGACCAGGTTCACCAGCTGGAACTGAGCCCTGCACCTTGCTCTCCGCTCAGGCAGCGGCCTGGCCTCCAGTGAGGGAAGGACTCTGGGAGGGAGGGAGTTTGTTTTTCATGCTGCTTGTAAATTACGTAGCCTGGATGCAAGTCCTTTGGCCTGCAGGCAACAGAGGGGAGGGTGGTGCAAGACGGGAATGAGAAAAGGAACCCCAACGGGTCTCAGGACAGTCTGATTAAGTGTGAAACTTGGTGTTGAGTTTTTCAGGCCTCTTGTTTACATAGACTGGATGGTTTTCTGCAGCCTCCGGACAGCTGCATCCCGTGCAAACAGTTGGTGATGGTCTGGTCCCTGTTGATCAAGCACCTACTATGTGCCTGGCGCATGGTGAGCATGCTTTGTACATTGTGTAGAATCTTCATGCCAGCCCTGCAAGGTGGGCTCCTCAGCCTCTGGTTCTTTAAGAGGAAACTGAGTCTCAGGGAGGCGCAGCAGCCCCCCAGGCCCACGAGCGAGAGCAGGCCTAGCCGGGCCTGGCCCCAGGCGGCCGGGCTCCACGCCCAGGCCACACCCACCTACTGCGCCAGGCGCTGAAGGCCGCAATTAAATAGAAAGCTATTAGATTTTTTTTAAAAAAAAGAAAGAAAAAAGGATTCAAAGCTGCATTGTGTTTCCTGCTCAAAAAGCTAAAAGGCAAAGTTAATACTGAAGCAGCTTCTCAAGGAAAGAGTATATTCTTCAGCATCAATAAGAAAGGCATTAAAGCAATTGAAGAAATGGGCTACTTTGATCTCCTACGTTTCCATTCTTACGGAAAGCAATTCTATTAAGTTTCTCCAGCTTTATCATGAAAGCAGTATTGTTTTTGAGGCTTAAAAAAATCTCAAATAAAAATGTGTGGAGTTCTTTATTATTCAATACTTGTGAGATGGGGAAACAGACAGTAACATTTTTTATAGATTTACTAGGTTGGAGACTGCAGTGCCAAACGCAAGGTTTATTGTCAAATAAAACAGTTTTGTTTTTTGATTGCCTGTTTTAAAAGAGTGTTGCTTCTGTTCTATAATTACGTGCACAAAATTATTTAATTTGTTTTGTTTGGATCTTATTCTGGACACTTTCCCAGCCGGAAAGATGTAAAAATTAAAACATCTATTATGGCTTTTATATTCTGAGGTGGGTTATAAAGAGGAAAAAAGAAATTATTCAGCAGACTAGGAAATAACCATTTTTTAAATGTCTCCTTGCTTTTCAGACCCTGCAGGGCCTGTGACAGTCACGTGCGCGCCTGACTTCCCTGGTACAAGGAACCAAGGGACCGCGGGGACCGCGGGGACCGCAGCGAGCCACTTGCACAGCAACTTCTCACCACAGTATGATGGGAAGCTCCAGTCTCTGGGTGAATTACTAAGCCTTGGTCCTTGGTTAGTGGCCTGGAGGACATTCACAAAAGTGGGAAAGGCAGGAGAGAGGGCCTCCCAGCTGAGTACTTATATAAAAAAGTTAAACGCGGCCCTCCTAAGAGTGGCTTCCATTCAAAACTCAAGTAGCCACTGAAGCCAAACACCTGGCTTCTTCTAAATGATCTGGAGTTTACTGGAGGCTCAAACAAACAAAACAAAACAAAACAAAACAAAACAAAACAAAAAAACAACAAAGAAAGAAAGAAAAAGCCCAAGCTGGCTCCCCAAGGTGGGACTGCCCTCCAGTCAGGAGCACAAGGAAGTGGCTTTCAAATGCCAAGGAGCAGCTAGGCGTTCGGTGATTGGCTCTCCCCGTGCCAATGCCCCCAGCCTCAGCAGGAACCAGCCTCCGGGAAAGTGAAGGTTCCCTAGGAAAGTGAAGGCTCGCCATTCTATCAGGATGGGGAGCCAATAGGGAGCCCGTTAACTCATGAATACAGACGGAACATTATTCATTTTTCTCCTAACACCGCCCCCCCACCCCACTTTGAGAACAAGTCAACGGTGAGCTGGAACCACCTGGGGCGGAGGGTGCAATGCCAACCAGGAGAGAGGACTGGTGAGGGAGGCCTTTAATCAAGACGCTTTAGGGCTGCAGGCCCGAGGCCCGCGCCCCGGGGTGCTTCAAGGATTAGAGCCCTCAGCTCTCTCCTCTGGGAGTCTAGGGAGCACAAATAGGGGAGAAAAGACGGGAGGGGCCTGTTTTAAGAATGTGGGAGGCAGGAGGCAGGAGGGAGGACCCCGTGGGCCCCAAGGCGCGGACAGGCCCCATTTTGAAAGTGGTCTCAGGTTCTACGGAGCAACCTCCCAGCCTGCCTTCATTTACGTACTTCTTGTATTCCTCGTCTTTCATCTTCAAACAGAAGGTCTCCAGAACCCTCCTCAGCGCATGAGGCTGGACCAGACCGGTCTTGTTGACATCGAGGAGCTTGAGGGCACTGATAACGGTTTTAATGTTTTTTAAAATCTGTGTAAAAAAGTGATTTAGAAAAAGTCAAAAGATCCAGTGTTGAAAACCATCATGGTAATAAGAAATGTGAACATTTTTAAATGCTTCTTGTAAAATAAAATGTTTTCAAAGATGCACAGTTGTAGGTACTGCAAAATGACATGTCTATGGGAAAAAAAAAAGACACTTTGCATTTATTGAATGTTTTCAAGGCAATTTTCTCTGTAAATAGTCTTAGTAAATTTAAAAAAAAAAACAACTCTGATGTAAAGCAGTAAGTCTCATACACAATTCATTCCATTTTAAGCCATACAAAAAAAAATCTTTTTTTGTTAACTGATACTTAAAAACTATAGTTCTGGCATACCTAAACGTGTACAAGTTTTGTTTTTCATAGCCATATGCAAACTATTTTTACTAGAAGCTGAATGAAAAATATGACTGTGTGTTTCAGCCCCACTGAATTTTTAAGAGATATTACAGAAAATGTTTACGGAGCTCTTCTGCGGGGTCAGCAGGCGCGGCCGTGCTGGGCGCACAGCATGAGGAGCATCTGGACCAGCCATGGAGATGCACCGGCCCTTCGGCTGCTCGTGTTTAAGGGAAGAGACACTCATCGGGCTCCACGCGTGCCCTGTGCAGAGCCACGTGGCTGCCTCCTCCAGCCCCCGTGCAGGCAGCGGGGCTGATGCCCCATTGTTAGATGAAACAGTGGTTCAGGGAGGATCCACGGGCCATCCCACACGGCCCGGTGGGACACGGATGATGCTGGAATTTAAACTCAAGTCAGTCCTTTAACCACCCCACCCCGCAGCGCAGAGTGGGCACGGCACGCACGTGAATGCTGATCAAAGCCAGGCCGGGGGCCAGGAGCCAACTCACAGAGACAAAGGAGGTGCCCTGGGCCTTCCCAGAAAGAACAGGCACCTCCAGCCAGAGCCATGGCGGGGCGGGGTGGGGGCTGCCTGCAGGAGGCAGCACCCAGGCTGGGGGGTGCTGGGGGCTGGCGAAACCAGCACGGAGCCGCCTTCCACTCCCAGGCCCAAAGCAGGGCTGAGGAGAGACAGTGCAGAGCAGCAGGAGGGCTGGCCTGGAGGTTCTCCCTCCACCACCTTGCGCTGGACTAGACTGTGCAGCCCAGATTCTGAAGGAAATGAGCGACCTCCGAGGAGAGCGTTTAGGGAAGGCTCCAAGATGAACAGGTTTGTTCTCTTTTATCAACTTTTCTTCTGACGGTGCCCTTTGCCATCAGTCTTGGGCTGACCGACATCCGGAACAAAGGGCCTCGCAGCACACTCTGGGGCGGCTGTCTCGCTCATGCCTGAGGGACCACTAAGCTGACTCCTGGGACCTACTGACTCCGGCCCCTCCTGGAGGGTCATCTGGAGACCTTCCCGCACACCTTATGGCTGTCTGGGGGACCTTAGCCCCTGGAATGCCCACCAGCCCCCGCACCGCTTCATACGGATGACCCCCAACGACCGGTCCCTCAGCACCTGGTCCGCCTCCCTCCAGGGCTCACGCTCCCTGCTCAAGTGCCACCCCCTAATTATTCCTAATAACTGCCACCCCCAATCTAGGCCCACGCTCCGAGAGCCCTCCCATCTCCTCAGCCCCCTCCCTTGAGCACTGAGCCTCAACAGCCCTCTCCCGGCCAGGACCCCGCCTGCTGCTCCAGCTCCTCTCACGCTCCTCCGCTCCCTGTCATCGGACTCCACACCCGCAGGCGGCCTCCCTGACCCCTGTGCCCTGCCCCTCACCCACTGACCCGCAGCAGCCCTCCACACTCCGCGCAGCCCACGGCCCCTTCCCCCCCGGAAGCCCCTCTCCCCGCTCCCCTCCACCTCCCTGCTCCCTGGTGTCCCTGCCTCTGCCCTGCTCCCTCAGCCTCTGGACTCAGAGCACCTCAGGGCTCAGTCCTCCAGCCACCACGCTGACGGAGCAGCTGGGGGCTCCCAAAGGTCTGTCTCCAGCCCCGGCCTTTGCTCTGGGCCCAACTGCCCAGTGACGTCCCGGCCAGCCTCACAGACCTCCCCTCCCATGGCCTCACCACCCCAAATGGGGCGGGTCCACCCGCCAGACTGGCCTCTGGCCACGCCCCTTGTCCTCTCTCTCTCTGTCCAGACAGCCGAGCAGCCCTCCCCTCATGTCCAGCCTGTGTCATCCCCTCCGGCCAGGGTGAGGCCAGGTCCTGCCGTGGCCCCCCAAGCCCCCCAGACTGGCTTCCAGCAGCTCTCCCCCTCCGCTCCCCCCACTGGTCTAGCTCCTCCGGCCACCCTGCTCCTCACAGGGCCGGGCCCCCGCCTCAAGGCGCCTGCGAGGCTGTCCTGCTGCTGCCTGTGGCACTCTGGCCCGGGGGCTGCCACTGGCTGCTCTGCGCTTCACTGGGGTCTCAGCCCAAGTGTCATCTTATCAAAGTGGCATCTCCTGAGCACGCGTATAAGATAGGACCCCTCCCCCCAAAACATGCTCATCTTCTTCAAAATACTTCTCACCAACTAATATGCTGCCTTTACCATCTGTCCTCACCACCACTGGAATGCCTGCTCCCTGCTCCCCCTACCTGCTTGGGAAAAAGCCACACTGTGGGGAAGCCTTGTTATATGTCCGCCAGGCCTCCTCGGGGCCAACCAGAGCGGAGGAGTATGCTAACTGCATACATATTCATTGAATGTCAGTTACAGGCAAATCTTGTGCTAGGTTCCACACCCATCTCCCGCTTCTAGCCTCCAGAGAGCATTTGGCTGAGACTATTTAACGACCGAATTGGGGGTACTGTGCGAGGAAGACGGGGCAGCATCAGTTGGGGGTGCGCCCCCATTCCCCCCGCCCCGCCCCATCACTGCATCCAAAGCTCTAAAGCGCAGGCCAGACCATGAGAGCACATGCCGCCATGGCCAAACGAAGCCGCGCAGCCGGCCTGCTGCCCAGTCCGGCTCACCTCTTCTGGTGAGACGCAGGACCAGAGGCGATGTGCTTTTTTAAAACCCCAAAGCAGCCCAGATGGACCTCCGGCGCGGAACGCCAGGGAGCCGCAAGCCTGGCACAGAACTCACTCCCACCAGAGGTATGTCTCCAAGTTTCTTATCGTTCATCAGACTGAAGTTTGGCAGGATCTGAACGGAGCTGCAGATGGTGAGGCTTATCAAAGGCAACCAAGTTTGGGCCAGGGTGTACAAGACTTGTCCCGTGCAGGGTGGGAGGGAAGAAAAAGGTATAAAGGACTGGCGTGGCAGGGGGCTGGGACCAGTCCAGCCCCTCCCCCCCCCCCCAAAGGGAGAAGTGGGCGGCAGAGAGCGCAGCGACAAAGACTAGGATGGCGTAGGCAGCATCTAGCTCCTTTCTAGGCCAGCTCGACTTTTGCCGTTTTGGTGTAACTGGGACAAGTCTACATGAAGAGCCAACTGTCTCGGAGCCTCCTGAGTACGCCCCCACCTGCTCCGACTCACAATGACGCCTCCTCCTCCTAATCCCCAGCTCCAGCCACACAGAACTATTCCACTCACGAGCGCAGCAGGGTCTCTTCCCACTAACGAAAGTCCTTGCGCTGCCTGCCAAGCCCCAGATAATCTGACCCCCCAACAAAGACCTGTCAGCGACACACCCCCCCGCCCTCCCCCTCCTCCCCCTGCTCCAGCAGCGAGGCGCCTCCTTCTTTCTCATGGTCAAGTGCGCTCATCTGCCAAGACCTTTGGCGCCCGGGTCCTCTGCTGGACAGCCCCCTGCAGCCCTCCCTCATCGCCACACGTCGCCACACGCACTGCGCCTCACCTGCACTAAAGCACGCCCTCTCCCCTTGGTGGCCACTCTCTCACTCCTCCTCTTCCCATCCGTCCGCACCTGCTCGGGTCACACTTCTTTTTGTATCTGTTCACTGTCTCTCTTCTTCCACTGAAATGGCATCTCCAGGGGAGGGGACATGCTTCGGTTTGCTGCTGTGTCCCCCAGGCTCAGCACAGCACCCGGACAGAGTGGGTGCGCACCCAGGCTTGCACAGTGGGTGGACACGTCGTGGATGCTGCGTGCACACCCAGCCTGGCCCTGCCACGGACCTCTGCGCAGGATCCGGCGCCTTCTCTGCGCTTTCCTAATCCCGCTTCCGTCTACCCACAGGCTCCTGGACTTCCGTCCTGACCTCTGGACCCTTCCTGCCTGAAACTGGTACCCGGCTCCCTCCCCCGCAGGAGACCCGCCCCGGCCCTGCCTGCTCTCTGGCCGCTGGCCCAGTGCTCCCTTCCCACCCCTCAAACCTCATGCTGCGTGCCAGGCCTGCTCGGGGAGGGCCCAGGGCCTGAGAGGAGCGCCGGAGCACCGTTGAAGAAGGGCTGCCGTCCCCGCTCCCTCCCTCCACATCCAGCCGCTCCTCAGCACAGAAGAAGGGGCTTGCCCTCGGCCTCCCCCACCTCACCCGTCCCCTGCGCCCCCCGGGCCTGACTCCCTCTCCTGCATTTCAGGTGCTGCTTGTGTGCATTCGAGCCAAGGCTAGTGTTTACATTTCTAAATGGCTGGGGGAAAAAACCCAAAAGAACAATATTTTGTGACATATGAAAGTTATGTGAATTTCACATTTCAGGATCCCAAGTAAATTATATAGGCGCCCACCCAATCCCTTTATTTACATATGACCTGTGGCTGCCTCCTGCCCACCAAGGGCAGTGTTGAATAAGTGGACAGAACCTCTGGTCTGTAAAGATAAAAATATTCACTATTTTTCCCAAAAAATGCTCATGACCCCTGTCCTGCTCTCCCCCAAGCACTCCCCACTCACATCTGAGTGACAAGTGTCAGTGGCTTCATGTGCACAAACACAAACACAAGGACAAGGGTTTTAGAGGAAAACCGAAAGATCAGTTAGGTCTGCCTTTACAGGCCCAGGAGCCAGGAAACAGGCCAGAAGCCCTCAGCAGAGGCCGCCCCAAGGCTTCTCTGCCAACCGTGGGCCCTGTCCCTGACTGACTCCGTCCTGGCCCATCCCAGGCAGCCAGGACTGGCCAGGAGCTGCTTCCGGCTACAAGGGG